CCATTAAGAGAGTGAGTTGAACTTCATCTTTAACCTCCATAATATTGGCTTTCTCTTTTACTTGACTAGAGTTCCTATACTCACTTGCATAGTGACCATAATCTTGGCAATTAAAGCATTGGATTCGAGATTTACCTCCTTTCTGAAACTTCATACCTCTTCCACGACCTCTTCTAGATTGAGAACCTTTGTTATTGTCATCCTTGGTGGATTGAACGTAGCCACCTCGAGCCCTTCCTCGTCCACGTCCTTGAAATCCACCATTGCCTCGTCCAAGGCCTCTGCCACGTCCAAAGCCTCCATCTCTTTCTTTGAAAGAGAGTTTTGTGTAGAGAGCTTGCTCCAAAGATTCTTTGGGCCTTCTCTTCTTTAGTTTCTCTTCATGAGCTACTAAAGTAACCATGAGCTGATCAATGGTCATAGAGTTAAGATCTTTTGACTCCTCTATTGCTACCACAATATAATCAAAGCTTGGTGTCAAAGAGCGAAGAATTTTTTCTATCACTCTTGTGTCACTCAAGCTTTCTCCATTCCTCTTCATCTCATTTGACACTTTCAAGACACGAGAACAATAATCTGAAACATATTCGGACTCCTCTATTTGTAAAGCTTCAAATTCTCCTCTAAAAGTTTGAAGACGTACATTTTTCACCTTCTCAATGCCTCTATTAGTATTCTCTAGAATATCCCAAGCCTCCTTTGATGTAGAAGCATTTGCCACCTTCTCGAACATGGAATCATCTAGACATTGATGGATAAGTGAAAGAGCTTGTTGATCCTTTCTCCTTGCTTTGTTGAGTTCCCCCTTTTGGGCAGGAGTCAAAGAAGCCTCATCTATAGGTTTCTTATAACCTTTCTCAACAATCTCCCAAACCTCATGAGAGCCTAAGATCGCCTTCATTCGAATGGACCACTTACCATAGTTTTCTTTGGTAAGTTGAGGGAATTGGAAAGAGATCATTCCATTTGCCATCTTACTTCAAAGCTGGACCAACACCAGCTCTGATACCAGTTTGTTAGTAAGGAAAGAGGACCGTTGAGTTGAAGCATACAAGATCACGTGATCAAGTTGCAGATATTTTCGCCAAACCACTTAAAGGAGAAGACTTTACAAGATTGAGGATAATGCTTGGAGTCACCAGACCAAGTTTAAAGGGGGGTGTTAGTGAATAAACTTGTTTGGTCTAAAATTATATTGGGTCATCCAATTTAATTAGTTAGATCATTAGTCTTTTGTTTAAAATTGAGCCCAAATCCAATATGAAGAATAGACTAGAAAGAGATGATGAAAGTAGTAGAAACTTCTACTAAAATATCTAGATATTGTAGAATAATCAATAGAAATATCTAGAGGAAATATCTAGATATTAGTAAGGAAATTTCTTGATATTATGTGTAGGAGGAAAATCTCGAAAGTATGTAGAATCTTCCATGAACTCCTATAAATAGGAGTTAACCCCCTTATGTAAGGTGTGTAGAGAAGTTGTATGAGTTATTAAGCTAAAAGCTTAATACAATCCTTTCCACTTTGTTCCTTTTACTACAAAGTAGTGAACCTCCCTTTCTCCGAAATTTCCTTCTCTTTCATTTCCACTTCCTAAACATATAACCTAAAAGGTCTCTTCCTCATAACCTAAAGGGTTCTTTTGCTAACACTCCATTCATAAGATTCAACTTTTTTTTCCAATCAAGACATCATCGTAAACCAATTTCAGAAAGTAATTCAAACATTTTGCATCAAGAACAAACCACTAATACTAAGAAAACAAGACTAATATAGCGTCTCGTAATTTTTACCTTTTTATGGTCCAGTTTTCTTATCGGCTCGATCTTCTTTCTTCCTTTCGGCTTCTTCCTTATCTCTTCTTTCGTCTACTATGACTATTGAATGGAAAAAAAAAGAGAAATATTGCTGGTTGAAAATATAGCATTAAAATGGAGCAATTTAATTGATTAGTATGTATAGATTGGTTTTCCAGTGAGATTGGGATTAACATATAGGGTCAGGAGTAGATTAACGAGAAAAGATGAATGTGTTCTTTAGTTTGGGTTTAAGTTTAATGTTTATCACAGATTTTTTTATTCTTCACGGTAATGCAACGGATTTAGTAGGTTCTGGGTTGTATAAAATGATCAGGTACAATTAAGTGTATTTTAATTACCGAATACCTCTCTTTAATCTAATGGTTGATATTTATTTTAATGATCTAACGGTTATTAAAGTCGACTGAACCATCTAGTCAGCTGGACTGTAGTCGCTCCCATATATGTGTGTGTGTGTGTGTTTCTAAGTGGTGCAAAACGAAATCTACGCCAATTACCAGGCCAATTTCACACAATTTTATCAAGATTTAACCTTGTTGGGATCACGCATTTTTCAATTGAAAGGGGCGTCAATAATCCCTTTTACCCTATTAAAGCAGAAAACAGGATGCTGATGTGGCAATTTCTTATTAAAATATTTTGGCTCCAAATGCACCATATTGCATAAACCATTCTGCTACGTGTCACTCCCTTTTAAAAACAAAAAATATATTTACAATATTAATGACGAGAGATGACCATGTTCATTCAAATTTTGAATTTTATAATGAATGGAACTTTCCTTCTCCACTTATTTAGGACTTTCGAAAAAATTAAATTTCGATAAATCAATTATCTTCATCAAAAACTAAATTCATTCCTAATCAGTTTTGATTATTTACATATCAATTTATTAGGTGGGAGAACGCCCACGGGCATTTGCCCGGGGCAAGCATCTAGTAACTCAATTACTTGGAAAAATTCTAGACCATGAGATTGAGAATATGTAAGCATCAAAGCCAATGTTCTTCATTAGTGTCACATCCTCCTGAAATGTTTAAGCACAGGTAATTAGTAGCTAAGTTATGAATTGCTGAGGCACATATTCTAATTAACTAGTTTTTTTTTTAATGGCTAGTTAACTAGTTGAGTTTTCTTGTTTCTTAATTTGCAGTGTCCAAAAACAACTTTTTTTAAAAAAAAAAGGAAAGAAAAACAGAATAGCCATTTTAGATTAGTGTTACAAATTTTTTATTTTTTAGTTTTTTAAAAAGAACTCATGGCAGTTACAAAGCACAAAACATTAACACAAAAATTGAAAATAAAAGCTGTTTTGATTATATTTGTTACATACCTCATATTTTTCGTAATGATTGACAGCATCTTCACTATATTTCTTGAATAACTCTGCCATTTTTCAAGAAAAAAAATTGCAAGAAAGAAATCATAAACATTCAATCCCTTATTAATTTACTCAAAACCTGACGAAGCTTGGTTTTACACCGCCGGCTTGGTAGTGGAACTTCGGCTAGGGTTTCCAACAAAAGAAGGCCTCGGGGGTCTCCCGAGCATAGACACTCTGATACTTAAGTGAGAAAAAAATTTAAAGAATGTATGTGAGTAGTAGCTTGTGCTAGAGATAGCGTACTCGTATTGTGGTGTGATCCCTCCTATTTATAGGTATGGAGTTACCTTTAAGGAAGCCAAATCCTACTAGGTTTCATGTTCCGAAACTGCCTCTTGTTAGGTCGGTTGGACCACAGTAAACGGATGGGTCAGTCCAATAGCTCTCGGTGGATATGGACTCGTCAAGTGCCCTTGTCAAGTACTAGTTGGCGAGTGCCCTTGTCAAGTACTAGTTGTATGAAATAAACAAGGTTTGACAAAAGATAAATAATACATGGACCTGGCCCAAGTAGGATGGACAAGTCTCGGCCCACGTTGTGTCGAGCAAGCCCAATAAAGTATCTCATGGGTCAGGATCCGATTCGAGAAGTTGACCCGCTTCAGAATCCCGCCCAAATTAATAAATCCTGCTTCATTAGCGGGCACATTCCCCAAACGGCAGCCAACACCCCCATAACTGCCTCGATTACCGCTGTAACGGCAGAAACGTGGGGGCACTGGTCTTTTTGATATACCTCTTGGGAGAGATCCATTTTGATATTTCCGTTCTCTTCTAAACTTCACAATACCCAGAAAAAGGGAGCGACATTGCTGCTTTTGTGCCCGTGCCTGAGTTTCGGCCATCTCTGTTGTCGCTGCTATCACCGGACCGGACTTAAATGCTCCATTGTCGAGTTGACATCAACATCTTAGGAGGATATAACTCAAAAGGAGAGTGGTCTTATCCAATAGTAAGTCTTTCCAACCCACTTTTACTGTCTAATTCCTTTAGAATTCCAGTTTCAATTTAGATCTGAAATACTGTGATAGATACGGCTAGAAACCCAAATTTAAAAACTGTCGATGACTTTGCTTCCACCTTAGATTCCGATGAGAAGGTAAACGCTGTAAAAACGAGATATGACATGCCCCTAGATCTAGAAGCTAGAGCCCCATTAGGAACCGAGAGGGCTAATTCTCTTCCTGAGGGAAGAATCACTGTATACGACCGCTTTATGCATCTAGGGCTAAGATTCCCCTTCTTCCTTCTGTTCGAGGAGATTGTTCAACACTATAAAACCCCCCTTGCTCATTTGACACCGAATTTGATAATCTTCGTGCTTGGGTTCGCAAAAATATGTCAACGAGTAAAGGTAAAGCCCCAACTAATTCTGTAGAGATACCTCTTCGAAGTTGTCGTTCCCTCGACATCATTCCAAGATTAGTACATTGTTAAGAGACGCCTTAGACCCGGCGTCAAGAAGATGGTCGAGGCATATGGTGGCTCTCCTGAATGAAAACTCGAATACCTTTTTGTGAAAGCATTGGAAAAGTATTGTGTAGCGTGGAATCGGCGAGAAGTGGAAGGTCTGGGGGTGATAAAGGGCGAGTGGTCCGAGGAGGATGACGATAGCATCGAGGAGTTCGCCGATGATTTGAAAAAAGTCTTGAAGTACTCCAAGCTTGTTAAATGGAGTGATGTGCAGTATTACGTTCCTACTGTTCTTGTCGAGAAGGGGAAAGACACTAACACTCTGGTCGAGGAAGAAAAAGTAACTAATCTCTTAAATTGTTGTTTCTGTTTTTAGGTCATGTCATCAAGCAATGCTGGTTCTCAACTTTATGGTGATGAAGACCCTTTTCCTATTATAAATTCAGATGAGGAGGTCTCAGCCACTACTGGTGCTGGTCCAAAGAAAAGGAAGAAGAGGATTGTGAAAGGCCCAGAGAAGGAGAGAAGCAAAAAGGCGAAAGCTGACACGCATCCGACAGAGTCAATGGCACATCAAGAGAGATTTGTGCCCCAAACTGTCGAGGAGACCCGCATTCTACCCATGGAAACCGGGCCAAGCAGCGTGCCTCCTATTGCTGACAAAGGCAAGAATCCTCTCGAGGTATTGCCCTCAGAAATGTTCGAGGGAGGACCGACTGTAGCAGTACACATGTTTGGCGACCCTCCAACAATTGAATGCCCCATCCTGGAAGAGTTCGCAGCTCAACTGAATGAGACCGACTGCGTGAGGCTGGTAAGTATTTTCCTGTAGTTGGTGGATATTTTTATAAACTTGTAGTAGGTAAAATATTTCTCGATCTCCCAATTCCGTGTAGACGAGTGCGGCCTCGATGGCCTCCTTGATGCACCAAAGGAAATTGAGGGAAGAGTTGGTTCAAGCTCGAGCCGAGAGAGACCAAGCTTTAATCAAGAAGGTTACGCTTGAGGAGAAGTTGCAGCAGGTTTAAGCCAAGGAGATAGAGTTAGCCTCTCTGCAGGCTAAGTACGATGAGTTGAACGAGAAGTTGAAGGCTTTTGCAAATTTGCATATCTTGAGGGAGACCTCCACAAATGGTGTGCTGCTTTCTGGTTTAGAATGCTTTCCACCGATAGGATGGCGGCAGCTATCGAGGAGGTTAACATGGCTGCTACAAAGTATGGGGCTTACAAAGTAGCTGTTGCAGGCCTTAAGAGAATTAACCAGGACAGACCCATCAAAGCCAAGTGGTTCAAATAGTTCCTGATGGAGAGTCCAAAGAAGGTCATGCATGAGGCGCTGGTGAATGTTCTCACCAAACTCAGCGCCGAGCAGCTGCCCCTATGGGAGTCTTTGTGTGGAGCTCTCATCAAGATGGGTACTCCTGAGGAGATCGCCATGTTTCCTGGTAATACTCCTACAGTCTTATCCAAGGGCCCAACTGATGGGGAGCCAATTCCTGAAGTGCCAGATGAGTATATGGGCATTGAACTCGAAGATGCTGGCGAGGAGGCTTCAAAGGAAGATGTGGCTGACACGGGCCACTCAGGGGTACAGAAGAACACTGGAGAGACATCTCAGAATGACCCTGAGAATGCTTCTCTTGGCTGAGACGCTGTATGAACTCCTACTCTTGTAATAGTTATTAGGAATTTTGAACAATTACAAGAGTAGGATAGCTGCACTTTTGCTGTCTCCAAATTTGACGTGAGCATTTACACCCTTCCTTGGAACAGGATAGCTGGTCGGTTCACCGGATTCATTGTATGGTTTTATCTGAGGAACAATCGAGAGAATATCCTCTATACTCAATAATTAGCAACATCAGGAGAAGTCGTGCAGATATCTATAGTATTGAAACAGTGATGAACTTAGAAGTAGATCTCCTTGATGCTATGCGGGTGCACAATGTAAGAGTCAATCAACATTTGATTAGCAAGATCAAAGAGCTTCGGGAGGAGATGCGATGGCGAGACTTCCAGAAAAGTAAAGACTATAGTGATTCTCTAACTTTCGAGACTGACATTCATGATGAGTTGGTTGCCTTACAGAAGGAAAATACTCGGTTAAGAGAGAATCAGAAGATCATTGTGTCACCGTGGTTTCTCGAGAAACATCATGTGCTTACCCGAGCACAACACATGATCTCAACCAGGACTCGCCGGTTTATTTCAACAATGGACATGCTAAAGGAAAGAACTCGTGAGATTGAGCTCCGTATGGAATATATAAACGAGCTTCGAAATCTATTGTTGTACCACAACATTGACTTCCAAAGCTTTGAGAAGCCTGAGGAGATAGCCGATCCCCGGACCAGGAGTTCTCGTGAAGAATTTCTATTGAGATTACACGCTCAAGATGAGGAGATTTTAGACATCAAAGATAAACTCAACCAGTGTGTAAACCTCCTTAGTCAGCACGGGTATAAGTGGCATCATACATCCTTCTCCTGATAACCCGATAAGAGAAGTTCTTGTAATAGTGTAGAAAAACGTGTATGTTTTCTACAACCTCGCATAGTTATGTGAAGGTAGCAAATGTATAATTGCTTTATAAAACTCGAGTTTCTTTATTTGTATAGCGCTTTTCAGCCGGCTTTGTTGAGGAAACTAGGTACGAGTTCCTCGATTTGTTACTGCGATCTACGGTGGGTACGACGAGAATTCCTCAATTTGTGTCCGAGTGTTGAATACACGGCTCTGAATGAGGATGACCCTAAAGAGGGTATCCATCTCAAGGACTAGTCTCAATGTAATGTTGACGATATAAGAAAATATGTAATGACGTTTATTGAATAATTACCCAAGGACCCGGATTAGCATTACATACGAGAAAGTAAAAGCAGTAGAGCAAACAAGGCAAATGAAGCAAATAAGCTGAACTAGCAAGTATCAGACAAAGACTTAAACGTAAAACCTACGGAGGTTCTGAATGTTCCACCATCGAGGGAGGATGGTTCCACTGTCATCCATGGCTTGTAAGCGGTAATTGCCCGTCGGAGAAGCCTGAATGACCTTATAAGGTTCTTCCCAGTTTGCAGTGAGTTTTCCGAGAATCTCTACTTGACTTGCTTCGTTTTTCTTTAATACAAGATCCCCCACTGCGAAATCTATTGCCTTGACCCGCTTGTTGTAGTGTTTACAGAGGATCTCCTTGTATTTCGCCTCTCTGATCCTGACGGCATCTCGTCGCTCCTTGAGAAGGTCAAAATTTAGCCTGATATCGTCATCATTAGCGCTCTCGACGAAGTTGATTGTACGAGGACTTGCTAGGCCTATTTCGACTGGGAGAACCGCATCCATGCCATGGACCAAGCCGTAGGGGGTTTTATATGTCGAGGAGTGGGCGGTGGTGCGGTATGACCATAGGACATGAGAAAGTTCCTCAGCCAAGCTCCTTTAGCATCATATAGTCTGGTCTTAATCCCATGCAAGATTGATTCTGCTAATTGATTCTGCTTGGCCATTAACTAAAAAAGTATTGCGGTATGACCATTGGTTCTGTTAATTGATTATGCTTGGCCATTAGCTTGAGGGTGAGCTACACTTGAGAAACGGCGCTCGATTTGCATTTCTTCACACCATGATTTGAAGGACTTACTCTCGAATTGAGTCCCATTGTCAGAGACAATGATCCTCAAAACTACAAAACGACAGACAATGTTTTGCCAGAAAAAGTCCAACACCTTCCTTCTTGATATTAAGGCCAACGGTTTAGCTTCTACCCATTTAGTAAAGTAATCTACTACTATGATTACCCATCTTACTCCTCTTGCCCTTTTTGGATGTCAGTGCCCTATTGGTAGAATGTCCATGGGCTTTGAATGGTGACCATCTCGTGCTGTGGTTGCCGAGTAATGGGAGAGAAGCGCTGACATTTATCGTATTTTTGTACAAACTGGTATGCATCCTTAAAGACCGTGGGCCAAAAGTACCCTGAACGCAATACTTTTTTGGCGAGTACTCTCGCTCCCATATGGGCTCCACATGATCCCTCGTGTATCTCCTCGAGGACAAAAGCTGCATGTTTTGGTCCGATGCATCTCAGCATGGGAAGCAGGTACCCGTGCTTATATAAGACCCCATCTCTCAAAGTGTATTTAACTGCTTTCAACTAGAGTGCTCGAGCATCTGATTTGCCACTAGGCAATGTCCCACCTGTTAGGTACTGAATAAATGGAGTCATCCATGTGTCACCATCTTCGGTAATAGCCATTATGGGAGCCTTCTGAATACTAGGTATGGGGAGTATCTCGACCCAAACCTTGTGACTGAGATGTGCAAAGTTTGAGGAAGCCAATTTGCTCAATGCGTCTGCCCTTTTATTTCCCGATCGTATGACGTGAGAGATGATGCACTCCTAGAACTTATCTTTTAATTCGAGGATCTTCCCGAGGTATTGTCTAAGCTGCTCATCATTTGCCATATAATTACCCAGGATCTGATTTATTACTACCTGAGAGTCGCTAAAAACTTGGATTTTTTGAACCCCCAGCTTTAGAGCCATATTTAACCCTGCTATTAATGCTTCATATTCAGCCATGTTGTTAGTAACTGGGAATCCAAATCTCAATGCGTAAGTGTACTCCGCGTCATACCCTTTCATGTTCTCGATCTTTGGATCAGCTGATGGTTTTGCCAGTATGATACCGGCTCCCCCTCCCTCGTCACAACCGGAGCCGTCAACGTATAATGTCCAGGCTCGAGGGTTGACATTGACGGAGGCAGTAGGGTGACTCTTAGGCGTAGGGGCTTCCGGGACGTCAGTAGTTCGAGGCATTTCTACAAGGAAGTTTGCGAAAGCTTGACCCTTGATTGTCGTTCTTGGCTTATACTCGATATGGTGCTCCTCCAACTCGACCGCCCATTTAATCATTCTACCAGAAGCTTCTGGCTTGAGAAGAAATTGCTGAATGGGTTGTTCTGTTAACACCCGTATTGGATGTGCTTGGAAGTATGGACGCAGACGTCGAGCAGCCATAACCAAACTCAAGATAAGTCTCTCCATGAGCGTGTATCGTGTCTCTGCACCTTGTAACACTTTACTAACATAGTAAACAGGAATTTCCTTGCCATCCTTGTTTTGGACTAGGACGGTTGAAATGGCCTTTTCTTGAGCAACGCGGTATACATATAAGGTCTCCCCCGGTTCAGGCTTGGCCAATATAGGCAGCTGTTTAAGATGATCCTTTAGCTCTTGGAAAGCTTTTTGGCATTCCTTGTTCCACTCAAACTTTCTGCCTTTGCGGAGTGTATAAAAGAATGGGAGGCTTCTTTCTGCGGCTCGAGAGAGGAATATGTTTAAGGCCGCCAGGGATCCTGTAAGTTTCTGAACTTCCTTGACGTTCTTCGGGGCTTCCATGGCTAGGATCACCTTGATTTTTGCCGGATCAACACTGATTCTATCCTTAGAGACGTGGTACCCTAGGAACTTACCCGACCCTATGCAGAAGGCACATTTTTTTGGATTAAATTTCATATTAATCTTGTGGAGAATCAAGAAGATCTCGCGCATATCCTTGACTACTTGCTCATCTCTGTTGCTCTTGATCACCATGTCGTCCACATCTCGATGTTTCAGGCAATCTGGTCATGGAACGTTCGATTGACGAGGCGTTCATAGGTTGCCCCGGTGTTCTTCAAGCCAAAAGGCATCTTGTCATAACAGTACACTCTGATCTCGGTGATATAGGCTGTCTTTTTTGCATCTTCTCGCGCCATAAGGAACTGGTGGTATCCTTTATAGGCGTCAAGGAAACTGAGGGTCCTATACCCAGTGATACCTTCAACCATCTGATCTATGACGGGTAAGGGATGGCAGTCTTTGGGGCAATGTTTGTTGAGATCCGTGTAATCTTGGCACATGCGCCAAGAGTTATCAGGCTTTCATACCAGGACTAGGTTAGCCAACCAGGTAAGCCAAAGAACATCCCGGAGGATATTAGCACGAACCAGCTTCAACATTTCTTCATTGATGACGTCATTGCGGTCTCGAGCAAATATTCTCCTCTTATGTTGTACGGGTTTACCATTTGGATCAACATTCAACTTGTATTCAATAATATCTCGTGGTACTCCTGTCATATCTATAGGTGACCAGGCAAATATATCACGAAACTCGCGTAGCAAGGCGATTACCTCGACTAGCAACGCTCCTTGAGGTGTTATACCTATCTGGATGGTGTTGGAGGGATCCTTCTCATTAAGAACAAGCTCCTGTGTTTTGCTACTAAGTGGTGGCAGGTAGTTAGTGTCGCGATCCTCCGACCGTGATTGTACTATGGCTTGTGGGACCGAGTAGCATCCCAATATGGCAATGCTTGGGTTAGACTTTATGGCCCTCTTCCCAATCTTGACAGCTGCGAGCAAACATTCCCGAGAACTACACTAGCAGCCCTGCACTACTCCAACTCCGTATTCTATAGGAAATTTTATCACTAGGTGATAAGGAGACCAAATTGCTCGGGCTTGGCACATCCAGGGTCGTCCTAGGATCACATTGAATGCCGAGGGTGCATCTATTAAGGAGAAATCCATAGCTAATGTAACCATTATAGGATGTGACCCTACCGTGATGGGGAGACTTATGATTCCGGTTGGGATAATAGTGTGACCCGAGAAGCCCATCAATGGCATTGTTGCTGGGCGGATATTAGGGTTTTGAATGTTCATCTTTTTTAAGCAATCGCTGTAGATGATGTCAACTGCACTGCCGTTGTCCACATAAATCCGACTGAGTCGCACATTTCTGATTATCACCTCGATAACCATGGCCTCACTGTGTGGACAAATATCCGGGACTACGTCATTGTCAGTGAAAACTATGGACTCTGTCCCTTTGAACCTCTTGTGACTAGGTTCCTGACGGGGAGTTTTTGTGGCGGTTCGTACTGAGTTTTTCATGGCTGTGGTAGATAAAACTTCGAGAGGAGCTCCATAAATGGCACCAACCTGGTGAGTGATCTGCTTGGTAGGATCCGCCGGAGGGATATGCTGAAGCGGTTGTGGGGCTCCCTCGATAGTTTGTTGAGGAGGTTGTTGCGTATTGTTCCTTGGTTGCCAATTATTCTCACTGCTTTCTCCTCGAGGACCCCTGAAATTCCATTTAGGAAAGTTTTGGGATGTACTAGGCTTCCTGTTTCTTTATCCAGAGGGTCCTTGCACATATTGCTGGAATTTACCAGACTTAACTTCATTCTCGATTTCCATCTTAAGTTCTGGACAATCCTCAGTATCGTGGTCGTGGTCTTTGTGATATTCACAATATTGTTCCGTTGACCTGTTTGGATTGGGCGGTAAAGGTTTTGGGGTAGGTAACTCGTCCTTGTGGATCTGGAGGATTTCCCGGCGTAGCTTAGTCAAAGGCGTCAATTGCCTATCGAGTTTAGGCAATGTTGTCCTACTTTCTTTGTTAACCCTTGGTTTGTCTCTTGGCCCTACTGCCGTGAGAGATTCTTGTGATCTCTTGAGTGTGTGCTCTCGTTGAATATGGTTCTCGACAATAGCCCACATCTCTTGGGAGTTCCTAGGAGGTTTAGTCGAGTGTTTTACTCTTAGCATTGAGGATTTTCCAAATGGGTTGAGCCCTTGGATAAAACCATTCTGGACATCCCATCTATCTATGTTGTCAACTTGTAAAGTTTCGCAGATGAAACGCCGATGGAAGTCTGAGAGACTTTCATGTTGACCCTGCTTTATCAAGGAAATTCAACGATACATAAAATTATTGGACGCAGGCATAGAGCTTTAGCCATAAAATTCAACGATACATTCCTGATCCTCATGACCTGGACATACCCCTGCAGCCACTGGGAGACGTCCGTATCTCCCGAGTATTTGGTGAAGTCCTTGGGGAAGTCAAAGTCCCGGGGCTTTGGGTCATCTCGAATGTCTGGTATAAAGGGACTCTGGTCTACGACCATTCCAATGATCTTCCTCATCTCATCTCGGATCGAAGCATTCTGGCCTCTTACTTCCTGCTGACCTCGAGGAAGATAAGGTGGGATCTCTTCGTGGTTGTTATGTTGTTGCCGCCTGGGAGGTGAATACTGAAGATGATGGTGATGCCCCCGCTCATAATCCTCTTCGGTATCGCCGTCGTTTCGGTATTGTCTATGGAAAGGTACGTATTCCTCCCTTCGAGGACTCTTTCGATGCCAGTTGGGCCCAATCGGTTGTGAACATTGGTCCTTCTCGGAGGGTTCCATTCTCCCTCTTCCATAACCTCGATGCTTGGGGATTCTTGTTGGTAGTGGTCTCGAGGATCCTTGCGTCTGTACACCGCATCAAACTCTTCAATGGCCATATCAAAGGCTCGATATTTCTTCCTGAATGCGTTCCAGTAAACGGTGTCTCGAGTGGATCTGGAGGATTTCCCGGCGTACTATAGTCAAAGGCGTCAACTGCCTATAGAGTTTAGGCAACGTTGTCCTAATTTCCGTGTTAACCCTTGGTTTATCTCTTGCCCCTACTGCCGTGAAAGATTCTTGTGATCTCTTGAGTGTGTGCTCTCGTTGAATATGGTTCTCGACAATAGCCCATATCTCTTGGGAGGTCCTAGAAGGTTTAGTTGAGAGTTTTACTCTTAGCATTGAAGATTTTTCAAATGAGTTGAGCCCTTAGATAAAACCATTCTGGACATCCCATTCATCTATCTTGTGAACTTATAAAGTTTCATAGATGAAACGTCGATGGAAGTCTGAGAGACTTTCATGTTGACCCTGCTTGATCAAGGAAAGGTCAATGGACATTCTAGAGATTCGCTTACTCTGAAAGAACTGAGTTGCCAATTTGACTGACAAGTCCTCGGAACTGATTATACTTCCTTCTGATAACTGTCGAAACCACCATTGTGCTTGCCTAGTTAGGTAGGCGGGTAGAGATTTAGCCATAAAATTCAACGATGCATTCCTGATCCTCATGACCTGGACATACCCCTGCAGCCACTGGGAGACGTCCGTATTTCCCGAGTATTTGGTGAAGTCCTTGGGGAAGTCAAAGTCCTGGGGTTTCGGCTCATCTCGAATGTCTTATATAAAGGGACTCCGGTCTACGACCATTCCAATGATCTTCCTCATCTCGTCTCGGATCAAAGCGTTCTAGCCTCTTACTCCCTGCTGACCTCGAGGAAGATAAGGTGGGATCTCTTCGTGGTTATTATGTTGTTGCCGCCTGGGAGGTAAATACTGAAGATGACGGTGATGCCCCCGCCCATAATCCTCTCCGACATTGCCGTCGTTTCGGTATTTTCTATGGAAAGGTACGTATTCCACCCTTTGAGGACTCTTTTGATGCCAGTTGGGCCCCAATCGGTTGTGAACATTGGTCCTTCTCGGAGGGTTCCATTCTCCCTCTTCCATAACCTCGACGCTTGGGGATTCTTGTTGGTAGTGGTCTCGAGGATCCTTGCGTCTGTACACTGCATCAAACTCTTCAATGGCCATATCAAAGGCTCGATATTTCTTCCTGAAAGCGTTCTAGTAAATGGTGTCTCGAGTGGTAGTTGAATGGTTATTCAAGAAGCCTTCGCGATCTTAATACTCTTGATAGTCCCCCTCCTCCTGGACCTTTGGCTTGCCTTGTTTCTTCTCGAGAAGAGCTAAAGTGCGTCGGGCTTCCTTCTCGTCAATCAATTCAACTAACTCTTGTTCAGTTGGGTCAGGTTTTCCCAGGAGACAGCGACGCCTTGTTTCCTCGAGAACATATCTTTTCATCCTTTGATTTTGATCGTTGTCATCCCGCAGCTTTTTGAGTTCAGTTTCGATTTCGGCCAACTTTTGATCCTCCAAGAGTTCCTTGAATGCTATGGTATTTCGAGGAGGAGACAAATCCTTTTTCTCGGTCGCGGGATTTGCTTTGTCTGGTTTCTTTGGATTAGGTTGTGAAGTTCCAAGGACCAGACGTTCTTTCCCTGGTTCTTTCTCGGGTCCTCTTTCATGGCCCTTTCCCGTCTTCTTTCTTTCCTATCGTCATTGGAATTCTGCCAGGGTAGTGTTATCGGCTGTACTCTGTTGTCTACCGGAAGATGCCATGCTGCTCGCGTCCTCTTCAACCTTGGCCATAGTGTGCATGATTCCAGAAACCCTAAGTCGCACCGGAGAAAGTTAGGAAAACTGAAAAGGTTTTCGTGACACAAACCCTAGTTTTCGGGTCCCACCGGGCGTGCCACTTGACGAAGCTAGGTTTTACACCGGCGGCTTGGTAGTGGAACTTCGGCTAGGGTTTCCTGCAAAAGAAGGCCTCGAGGGTCTGCCGAGAGTAGACACTCTGATGCTTAAGTTAGAAAAGGGTTTAAACAATGTATGTGAGTAGTAATTTGTGATATAGATAGCGTACCCGTATTGTGGTGTGATCCCTCCTATTTATAGGCATGGAGTTACCTTTAAGGATGCCGAATCTTACTAGGTTTCATGTTCCGGAACCACCTCTTGTTAGGTCGGTTGGACCATAGTAAACGAATGGGCTGATCCAATAGCTCTCGGTGGATATAGACTCGTCGAAACGAATTGAAGGTGTGCGAATTTGAGGAAAAAGAGTGAGACCATTCTTTTGAGCGAAGGGATCCCATATGGATTCTCCTCTTCCACCCTTCTTTAGATCACCTTCAATCTGACCAGAAAAAAATAAAAATAATAAAAAAAATAAACTTGAAAGGAATTTTACTATCAATTGTGTCGTAAAATTATAACAGTGGCAACATGGGATCATATCATATACTATAACTAGAGATCGTCGTTCGATAATAGTATAAATTTATTACACATCCACAAAGAAAACTGTAATTAAATTCATTATAGTTGTAAGAAATGCATGGCTTTCGACGCTGAATGAACCTTCAGTCATATAGCTTAAAGGCCATTAACAAAAAAAACAAAAAACAAAAAAAAAAAAACCAATACGTGTGTGAGTGCGTGTGTACTTGGAAGGCTGCGGTTAAAAAACCAAAGATAAAAATCCTTCCCGAAATCTGAGCGGCGACGAAGGCTGCCTGAGCTCTGGACAGCAAGTCACCGGCGGAAGACCCCGCCATGAAAGCTCTACACAGAAATTTATTACTTTTTCTGTCTCAAAATTATTGTCCAGTTTGATATTTCACTTTTAGTACTGTCAACTAGAAATGAAAACCTAAACTGGACAATAATTATGGAACGGAGTCAGTAGTTTTTTGTTTTGTAAATTAATCAATTAACTAAAAGTGTGAAGAAAGCCTTAGGCTTGGGAGTATCGTTGGCCCCTATTTATAAATGGGAGGGAAGGTGAAGATCAATTTTGAGAGAAATCATGCACTGCATAACGATTTGAGTTGATGATCAGTGTATGAATGATTGAAGGTTTAATTTATTTATTTTTCTTTTTTTTTTGGGTGCATTTATTTATTTTTCTTTTCTAGCTAAGAAAATTTTGAGTTGAGTATGCCATCATTAATTACGTTTAAGTATCTATAGTTTTTCTTATTATTGATTTATACCATTAGTATGTTCAAACTATTAGAATGAAAAGTGTGTTTACAGAAAAAATTGGACACTATACTTTCTGAACTGGATGATGTGAATGGCTTTTTTGTTTAATTACACTTTTCAATTTAGTCTCATTTCTTCTTCCAGCAAACTGGCTTTTTGCAATTAATAAACGTTTGAGTCGCATTTCACCCAAAAGAAAATTACATTTGAATCGCAGCTCTACAGCTGACTTTTATCTCAGTCGTGACACGTTAATGACTCACTTTTTTATTTTTATTTTTTTTTTACCTTCAATCGCTGGCCCTATGGTTGATTTACATTCTAGCAACTGACGAAAAAATTCCTATATATTTAATTCAAGATTCTAGAACAAACAGTAAATAATCATATTTTACATGAAAAATAAAATAAAATAATGAATCACGTTTATGATGATGTGTGTAATCTGTAATGCATTATTTTGTTCTGTAAAGATTAATGATTGAAACCAAGAATGCATTAATTAATTCAGTGATTGAAAATCACTGCAGATTGGAGACTGAATAATGATGCATAGTCGTTTGAAAAATAAAAATGATTCTTTGTTGGCTTTATAGGATCCGATTGTACACGTAATGAAATGCTAATCAACCGCATATGCGATATATGATATATATTAATTAAAATATTACTTTTTACATCCCAAAAAATTAATTTGCTTTCATTGTGTCCAATAAAAAAAACTTATTCTATTAAATTAAAATAATATAATAAAATAGATTATTTTTTTCGAATAAAAGAGCACTAAACATTTCGTCAAACCTGCTTAACACCGATTTTAAAATAACAACTCAATGCACAGAACCGGAGCGACTCATACGGTCATACCAACCATTTGACTGTATTGCCAATGAGAACATAAATTTTTTTCCACATAAAATGAGGAGAGACTTTGTAGGATGCAGAAAAATTTCACACCACAGTAGTCTGGATCCCTGAAGTGAGCTATCAAAATTGCCATCCATATTAGAAGTCTAAATTTTTCAATCAATTAAATGAAAAACAACATAACCATATGAAACTAAGTATAGTAACAATATGACTAAACTTTACACACAAACCATGCTTTCTGATATAACAAAGTATCTGATCCACCGGAAAAAGCTGGGGGAATCTAGAAGGGGGAGTCGTGTAATGATGTTATCTAGAACTAGCTACAACTCATCATCTATTTGGTAAAAGACCGCAGATCAGGGGATTCTACTAGGTGCTCTGTGCAACCATAAGAGCAGGCAGTTTAACAAAGAGCTGCAGAGGCAGAGGCATGACCACTTTCAGAAACTTCAGTGCTTTTTTTATTCATTTCTGGCATTGATCAATCGCCAGAGACATAGGTCTTGTCCTCGTAATACCGTCGCTCACTTTCGTTTTTCTTCTCATTTCGTTTCTGGAAAGAGAAATCCAATAGAATGCATAAACGATACAATAATACAGTAATTGGGTAAATTACATACAACTTGTCCAATTTTCACATTTGTTTTGGAACACTAAATTAGTCTTTTTTGATAACATCACTTGAGGCTTAAAATCATTTGATTTAGTTTTTATTCATTTCAGTGCGTTTGATAACAAATAAGTTAACTTAATTAATTAAGAAGTGTCTACGTTCTAGTACAAAATATAAGTAATAAAAGTTAGCTAAATGCTTATTCTATAACTGATTAAACAATTCAGCATTTCTGTTGTAGTATTAAGCATTCAGAAAACTAATTTTCATCAAACGGGCCCTGATGAAGGACAAGTTAATGATTAGCAGTTAAACTAACTTGAATATCACTAAAAAAATTACGCCCAATGCACAAGAGAATGCCATGTAATAATTGCCAAAGATATTTTCTCCTAAAAAGAGTAACCCTCAAAATATAGGAGATGTTGAATGGATGAAAACCTGGTAGGCTTCATGGTTTGATACAATTCTCCTGATTATTGTGCTCGTAGTAATATCCAAAGGACTCTCCAGCAATTTGAAGATGCCCATGCTTATTGGGACAGCATATGGATTCTCCTGCAAAGCCACAAAGAGAGATTGACGCAGGGACAAAAAATAAACTTAAACATCTGGGTTTCGGTTACAAATGAACAGAAAAGTGAGCAGAGGTTTATCATACCTTCTGAAAATCATTATCCTCAGCTACTGTTCCGTGCACAACTAAAGAAATATTAAAAGTTGTAATCTGCGATTGTGAAAATGTTGAACTAAGTAAAAAACCTCACATTCTGAATCATAGCCATAATAAAGTATAAAAAATGACAGAAAAATCAAAATTTTAGATTTTTGTTCTCACCATATCTTTTGACACCTCCCAGGGAGCCCCAATAATCACCTCATCTACATAACGGCATGCCAACACACTCAGGCTCCTTTCATGTAGATTCATAATTGGACGGTGAGCCCCTCTATTGGCACTACAAATTCCATCAGAGCAACAAAGTGTTAAAGAAAATTTCGCACATAGACCAACCAACAATACCATCTTTACTTTTTTTCCATACAGAACAACAACAACTTTCCTTCTCTTCAAAAAAATAAAGACAATATTAACAATTCCTTCTCTGATCCTGGATAATTAGCCTCACAGAGAGGAACAGCGAGGTAAACAAAAACCAATACCTGACAGTTTGATCAGTGTGAATGCCAACAAGTAAAAAGTCCCCAAGCCCACGGGCAAGCCTCAATATCTGTAGACCAGCAAAACAAGTATTAATTGGACTCTCTATTCAACGAATTTTTTGTACAGTGGCAGACAAACACCACATGAGATTGAGGTGAAGTTACAGAAAAAAAAAAAAAAATTATTATGTCTCATTCCTTAAAGAAAATATAATGTCGGATTCATGCCAAAAATAACAAATGAGAACATACACCGTGAAGCAAAGATGAAAGGAAATCAGCAACACGAGTAGCCATAATGAAGAAAACTCATCTATGTAGCAATAAAGAAGAAGCCAATGTAATCAGATAAAAAATTTACATAAATGAAATTCCACATATATGCAACGTAAAATTTGTCTCATGTAATCCCCGGAACAAGCAAGAGGATATGTAGAAATTTTTCACATTTCATGTACCTCTACATGTCCAGCATGAAATAGATCAAACGCTCCATCAATATAGACTATGCGAGCATCCGGTCCAGGGCCCTATAGTCAAAAGGAAACATAGATTAGCCCAAGCGACTAGAATGTACAACAACTGATGGCATGATACACACCTTTCCATTGGAAAACTGGACAATTCTTCGAGAGGTAGGCAAAAAGTGAGATACACGTGTTCCACTCTTCGAACCACCATCTTCGGACTTGTGACTGTGACCACTACTAAATTGGCGCTGCAAAGATGAATGGTTATGGCTATCGCCAGTGGACCTCTCTCTCACACAGAGAAGCATGCGACCTATTTTTTTGATTCACCAAATAAGCAAACAAATTTTGTCAAATAATAATAGATATAGTGTCCCACACCAGAACCTTAAAGAAAAACACTTTTAAAACATTCACCATCCATGCCCAAAGTGTAAAACTAACTAATCGAAAAACAAAAGTAGTTCAAATCATAAATTAGGGATTCAGAAACGGTTAACAGCTGCACCAGATTCATACCAACAATGTCAGTGCTGGAGACTCCTTCAGTGCGTTTAATTTGCTTGTAGCGTCCAGCCTTCTTAGCTAGGGCATAAGCGTCGGTACCATCAGGAAGAATACAGGGATCGTCCCCGTGTATAATGTAATCTATATCATACTCATCAAAGAGTTTCTTCATGAAATCCTCAGTTATAGCATAAGGAGCATCCGGTATCACTTCATCCACCCACTTCACAGCACTGACCATAATCATCCTAACATTTTTACACCAAATACAAAATAAATTAAAATCCAGAAAGATCATCTCTACCACTTTTCATGAAATACATACATCCACCATCAATAACATGAAATTGCTCGCACTTCGACTTGTTTACATGCTCATGCATTGCTGGGTTTTAGTGAACATTTTTTCCTAAAAAGAAAAAAGATAATTGTCTACAAAGACAGGTAGCTTAATTTCAAGTCAAGTTACAAGAGTGTACAACGCGATAGAAATGTAAGCAGAAAAGAAGAGAAAGGAAGAGCATATTACCTCTCGTTGAGGGGAGTGACAGGAGGGCCTTTATTAGCTGTTATTTCGGCATCACTGACAACCCCAACAACCAATTGGTCACCGAGGGCACGAGCCTGGCGGAGGGCGTTGCAATGTCCATAATGCATCATGTCGAAGCAACCATCCATGTATACTCTTATCGGCCTCTTCTTCTTATTCTTTCTCATCCAGAAGATTCCTCCTCCCTGAGGCAAAGCAGCTAGCGAGATACCTAACACCACGGTCAACCCCAGCAACGCCCCTCCAATAACCCATTTCTCTGATAATCGCGAACCACCACCCAGCTCAGCCCAAGACATACCAAAGTAAACTGAGCAAACAGTGAACAAGAACAGTCAACCAAAGTAGAAAACATGGATAGATACAAAAACTAACACCATTTTCAAACTCATAAAATTTTCTTTTTGACCTTATGTTGATGGTTTTCCCAGAGGAGGTATTCCATAATCATGAAAATATGAAATCCTGTTGAAAGGTCTTATTTTTTATAATAATTTTGTTTTTTGTATCATTGGAAGTGCTTTAGTATTTGTTTTATGAAGTTTCTACTGTTGTCGCTAGCTTTTAAAAGCTTTATCACAAGACACTTGTATATAAGTTTTTGCTACAACATGGTTCCGAAAGTAAAATGAAGTTAGCTTTGACATAATTCACGGAATGCTTAAAAGATTGAAAGCACACCTGAAAGCATGTGTCAATTTACAGTGTGTTTTTTTAATGTCGGTTATTTTCTTGTGCACTTGTCTCTGTTTCTATATTTCTCATGCTTTTTTTGGTATAAATAACTAAGTGCCAGTACGAGGAGAAGCAGTGCTGACTGCTGAGAAAGTAGCTACCTGAGTTCTGAGTCAAAACCTTCCTCATGAGAGTTGCAAGTAAAATAAATAAACCCACAAATATTGATCATACTCGACATTGACCTTACAGTCACAATAACTCAGGTTTACAGGTTTAAGCTTCAATCATTTCACAGGATGCCATGTTCTAAGAGACCTAAAATCAAAAAGGTGGCATACCATCACTAGAACTTTAAACTAACGTGTACACATATGCACAGTGAACAAGACTTCAAACATCAACAAGTGATGAATATAAATATGAAAGAATGATGAATAAATTACCCAAAGCAACAAAATCCAAACAAAAGAAAAGGCGAGGGAGGAGGAGCACGAAGAAAATCACCTTGCTCCAAAGCTGAAGCAAAGAATGAAAACTCCACTTACTCCAACACTGAAAAAAGCAAACCAACCAACAAGATTAAGATTAAACACAGCTGTTTGATGGTCTTGAGCAGAAAGAAGGTAAGGGAAGAATACGACAACTTCTGGAGAAGAAAATCCAGTAAACTAACTTGCTCTGCCACTGAAGGAAAGAATCACACTGACTAGGGAGAGAATAATGCATGTATTGTATAAACAGAAACCAGACAGGCAGGAAGTCATTTAAGATTAGCGATGTTTTATAAATTGTTTTCCAGGCAATATCACTCAGAAAATCGCAGAATCATTACTTTATTTTTCCTCCCCACATCATCACAGCTTTATGTTATTCCCGGGAAAACAAAAAATCATTCTTGATGAACCAATCAGTAAGAGACGACTCGAATCAAAAGGCAAGCAAAACATGTTTTGTTTCTAACAGATTAGTTGAATCAAAACGTAAACCACTTGCTAGAGGATTTGGCTAAGTAACAGCTGGAGGTTTAACGTTTGATTATTTAATCTTCTTACAATCATAATTTCACCGACATCATGAAGGATTGCAATTGCCTCCTACTGAAAAAGCTATCAGCCAGAGCATAAAGTCAAGAATGTGCAAACAACAATTTTGCACAAGAATCCCTTGCTATATGTGCTAAGTGGGAAACAAAACTAAACATGATTACATATGGGAATTCGCGTCAAAAGCAGAAAGCATTAACAGTGTAATCTACAAAACAAGCAAAACCAAATTTTCTTTGAGACGAACCATCAAATACTTAGAATGCAACTAACGCAAATATAAGATCACTGAACAGCCAGCACCACCACCAGCATCCGCAGCAATGAAGGGATCCCAAAAAAAAAAAAAAAAATGGAAAGGCAAATCCTGACTAGAAATATTTCGCACCACAGCGTAACTGCAAATTACCATAAAAGTATGATTTGCTTAGCTATTCTTCCATTTATGTTGGAATAACAAAGAGGAAACTTTTAACCAAATTGATTATTATCATCTAAATGTCGCAAGACCTGGGGACTGCTCAAACGCTTCGCCAAACTAGCTCGCGGAATCAAGAAACCATGTAAAATGCAAGCTAGAAAACCACCTAAAAACTTCAAAAAATCACTGTAATTGCTGCTAAATAAGTCCGGCTCTTTGCTCACCTTAATGGGGTCTGATTTCGATTTTTCAGCGGTGAGGAAAATGAAGGCACAGTTCTCGAAAAAGACTTTCTCCCCAATTCGATCGATGATTGTTGTGATGAAGAAAGAGATAATGGAAGTTTGGGAAATAAATGCCCGAAAGAGAGATAATAACAGTTGGAGATGTCTGAGTTTGGTTAGTGAAGAGCCGAGAAAGAGGGAGATGGGTTGGTTATTTTGATGCAATGCAAGTTAATAACATAGAAATGGCGATAAGTGATAACGATCAAATTTGGAGATTCGCATTTTCTTATTATTATTCTACTAGTACTTTTTCTAAATTCTAATACTCCATTCCAAAAATTGATAATAATAATAATATAAAAATCATCCCAAATTTTGAGATTTGTTTGCATGTCAATTAGAGCTCATTCAATCTTTAGGTTACAAACACATTCTGCAGCCTAAGGTGATAATGGCCCAGTAATTTGGGAATTTTTTAGTTTACCTTCTTTCTGAAATAAAATTACCATAAACGATTTGTACTTGTTGCGCTTCATTTAAATTTTGATCAATTTATTTGATTAAACATTGGTACTGTATATTTCTTTTTAAAAAAATTGAAAAATGTAACATCTATAATCATTCTAAGAAAATGCTGCAGTGACAAAGCAGGATTTAATCTTGGTCAAATTAGTTAGGAATCTTTCAATTTCCGGTATTATGTATATCTCTCTCCATTCTCCTAAATTTCTTTCTTTGATCCAATTACATTCATTAGAGAATAACAATCCATATATTATACAAATATTGATACACCTAATAGGAGAAAGACCTTATCTATCAATTTCTTCATTGCATTGGTTTACGGAATTTTCAATTCAAGTGCCCATTCATGCACTAACAATCATTGATTGATTGTTTTCATATTTTCTGCAAATCCTTTTAGTAACCATTCAACTCTGCCTTTTGGATCAAACGAACTGGAGGCCTCATGCTTGAGCTCCATCAAGGTAACCACGTCCTACCAACTTAAATACAACATGAGCAATCACGCCTTCTCTCTGATCTCCTACCGTACCTTACTTTTTCCCATCGGTAATATGAATATTGCCTCTAATTGCTTCAATTGATCGCTGAAAATCAATCATCTACTTTCCACCTCTATCTCGCGCTCAAGGAGCATGGCCGATGAAACAATTAGAGTGATAAATTTTTGCACACATCAGTAAATCCAAGTATACATGTAGACATGTAAATCTAGAACTTCGGGTTTAGAAAAACTATCCCAAAATATTTGAGCAAGACAAAATTCTTCTCTACAATTACAATAGAATAAGTGGAATCATTGAGCTAATTTATGTAAGACTTAGATTCAAACACTAAGAATGCAACATGATAAAGAATCAAATGTATCAATTCCCACCTAAACCCAAGGCCAGCAACAACGTAGTAACCGAAAAAAAATGTATTGAAGATCATATGATTAATCATTAGAATGATGCAAAAATACAAATCTGAACTACTGGAGTCGCCATGGCAAGGCCTCTGGTCAGAATAACCCAGTCTCGGTTGTACTATTTTAAAGATCTTTTGTCCAACTGAATGAATTTGATAGCAATTCACTATTTTAATATATTTACGAAAATCAATCTAGGGTCGGGTGACTGAAAACACAGTATTTAACTAAAAGAAAACCAAACAATCAATTAAAAATTAAAAGGATTGAAACTCTGTGATTAAATCCGTTTAGTTCTTAATGAGCTGAGAAGTGAAAAACGCTGAGCTTATATGAACACAGAAGGAAAAAAAGACCATTGGGCTTACTGTTGCTCTATGTTCTCTATGGAAAATCAGCAAACACTTTACATACAGCTTCAATTTCGATAATGTAAAAAAAAAAAAAAAAAAGAACTGGGAAGCTACTGAACGCCTTAATTTTTTGATTTGAACGCTTTAAAAAAACTTAAAAAATTATTTTGCCTCGCATATTTATTTTTTTAAAAAAAAAAGGAGCGGGCGACGCATTTTTGTGCCAGTCTTTCACGATTGGCGCAGGAGAAACACGCCACCCTTTCACTGGGTGGCGTGCACTTTTCTCGCCACCTTTTTTGGAGTGGCGAGCAATTTTTGTGCCAATGAAAACCGCTCGCCAAACCAATTGGGTGGCGGTCCAACCGGCCGCTACCCTTTTTTAAATTATTTTTTAAAGTAATTTATTTATTTATTTAATTCTTTAATTTATCTTATTTATTTGTTTGGCAGTTAAATAAATAATTTTCACTTAAATAAATAATTTTTTAGCTTAAATATTTGGAGAATATTACTTAATTTTGCATAGTAAATTTATTATTTAATTATTTAGAATTTTTTAAACTTAAATAAAAAATTAACATTTAATAACAACTAAAACATATGAATTTACTATAAAAAAAATACTTATAAATAACTAATAAAAATACACTAATTATTTATATATTAATAAAAAATTATCATTTACTACCAACTAAAAAATTATCATTCTCTAAATATTTAAATTAAAAAAAATATTTATTTATCATCGGTGCATCTACCCGTCCTGAGAATTTTTTTTGAAAAAATTTAAAATAAAAAATATGAAATATAAAATACGTTGAAATTTCATATTTTTATATTTCATATTTATCATAAAATAAATATAAAATACATTGAAATTTCATATTTAACCAAAAATTTACCTATTTAATATAACAACTATAACTTATGAACATAATACGTAATTAAAAAATATTCTCTAAATATTTAAGTTAAACATTATTTATTTACCAATACCATAAACCCTAAATATTAAGATAAATTATCCATTTAACTACCAATTAACATATATTTTTTAAATAAATATTAAACTACCAAACAAATACTTAAATAAAATAAATTAATAAATTAAATTAAATACATGAATTAAATAAACTTATTAAACTAATAATTTAAATAAATAAATAAAAATAATTAAATATATTAAAAAATAATTAAATAATTAAATTAAAAATAAAATGGGTGGCGCACAAAACGGCGCCACCCATTGAATGGTTGGCGAGCAAAATACTCGCCAGCCCGGACAAAGGTGGCGCCCAAAACGGGCGCCACACCTTCGCCTCTGGCGAAGGTTTTCTCACCTCCCTGGAAAGGGAGGCGAGATTATTCCACGCCACCCCGCAAAAGGGTGGCGTGTTTCTCCTGCGCCAGCCTTTTACGGCTGGCGCCATTCTCCCTCGTCCCTCCCTCCCCTCTCCTTTTTTTAAAAAAAATAAAAATTAAGAGTAAAATTATTTTTTTACATCTTTTTAAGGCGCTTAAAGGAAAAAAAAATTAGGGCGCTCAGCAGCAACACCCAAAAAGAAAATACAAATTTTGAAAAGGAACAGAGATGCTATCCATATAGGAAAGAAATCAGCCAAAAAACAAAAATCTTGATTATAAGAGAGAAGGGGACAAACAAAGAAATAAAATCTAACTCGACTTTGAATGAGTAATTTTTAGTCACCCAAAACAATCAAACAAAAACTTACTTTATCCAAAAAGACAGCCGATCACCAAATTCAAAAGATCAACAAAGACCCAGATCAAATAGGAACTATTCTAGAAAAGAGTCACCCAAACCTTCTTCCATGTGTCTTTTCTGATGAGAAAAAGACTGCAAAGCGATAGCAAAAGAAGACAGAGAGATTGACAGGAAGGAGGAGTGGCATGCGCCAGAACAGCAGCACCTTCCAATCAAGATCCGACACATCTAGGGGGAGACCGGTCACCGTATCTAAACGAGAGCAGTCTCGATCTAACTCCCCCATTGATACATATAGATAAAAGAGAGGCATAATGCCTATTTATTATCTCAATATTATCATACTCATCACTCATGTAACTTAGAGCTCCATCTTGTTTTTTTTTTGTTTTTTGTCACAATTAAAAAGAAGCACAATGTCTAAAATCAAATTACATTAAAAATTTATAATCTACTAGTATTAGGACCACCAAAATTTGTTAATTTAAAAAATTATCAAATAATCGATTAATTAATACATATTAATTTAAAGAATTTCTAGGAAGAAACAATATCGTTACTAAATTTCTTAATTTGTAATTGTCTTTACATCCGAATCAGTCAAGTATTAAAATTCTTTTTTGAATATTAAAAATACATACATAGTTCATATCATTAGTGATTAAAAATAAATCATTAGTGATTAAAAATAAGTTTATATTTTATTTTTTAAATATTTATAGTTATTATTATAATTATTATGATTCTGTTTTTAGGGCATTTTTTAATTTATGGTATTGCTGCTACCTATAAATATATAAGAGATTTTCTGAAACATTTATCATTTTATGAAAATTTTCCACTTTTTATATTAATCTTAAATTTAGAAGAGAAAAAATTATTAATTACTAGAAGTTATTAAAATATGTTATTCCATAACACATTTTTAAAATATGTTATTCCATAACATTATATTTTAATAACGATTTCATACTCGATGAGGGTGCTTCGAGCATTAGACTCTTGCTGGGGCTCCATTAACTAATCTTTTGTGTCACACTTCAGTTCATCTTCGACTAAGTTTGGCAGCACCGAGCCAACCTTTGACAGCGTTAGCACATAATGATTCAGTCCAATACAACATCATTATCGAAGTTCTCTATAGGCGTGGCTTTGTTTGGAAGCTAACATCATTATACATAAGTCACTAACATTTTAAACATATTTTTAATACATCATTATACATAAGTCACCTCATTCAGCGTCTGATCTTCATTATTTACAGAAAGATTGCCACAATTGATCTAAACTCTCTCATTTAGCCGATCGTAGTCACAGTGTTCCTGATATAAATACATATACTCTTAAAAATTGCTTACAAATGGTGCCAAAGTAATGTTTTGTACAGAAACAGATTAACAAAATACAATATTATAATCTTTTACCCATACTCAATTATAGCAAAGATCACAAACCATCCGACAAGTCGACCCATGCATCACCCTCACGACAAAAGCTTTCCCTCAAATGTTCAGGCTATGTTTGGTTCATTTTTTGGTTCATTTTTTCATAATTTTTAATTAATATCTATCTCATCTCAGCATACCTTTTTACATTTCAAATACACCTTTTTACATTTCCAATATACCTTTTTACATTCTCAATCTAAAAGAATACACTCAAAAAACCATCCAAACATAGCTTCAGAGAGTCACTCGCTAATGCTTACATATCATAACACAAACAACCGTCTGACGGGAAGTTTAAAAGCAATTCAGAATTTCAGATTACATACCTGAACCAAGTCAATTTGCATTTGGCACAAAAGAGAGAAATTTTTAGCTGCCACAAGCAATACCTAAAACTAAAGAACATAACTCCACTAGACTAAACAGAGACTACTATTCGAAATGCGAATCCATCCCAAAAATAGTTAATCACGATTCATGATACGCATTATCCTTTTTCCTACGACTGGATTTGCTATAAGAGAAGTGCTGGACTGCTGTCTTACTCGGAGAGTGACGTCCTCAGTGGCAGTTTCAACCTCTGTCGTCCCACTGTTCCGATCAGCAACAACTTTTGACATGCTAAACATCTGAATCAAGCACAATGACCAAATTCAAGAAATCAACAAAGTGTGTGTTCACATAAGCCAAGACTTGAATAAATTATACTCCTTCGGTAGAGTGTGACTATTTTTCTGAGACGGACGGAATATAATACTCCCTCCGTCCTATAATTATTGTCCACTTTGCCCAAAAAATTTTGTCCCAAAATTATGGTCCAATTTGAGTTTTTATGGATCAAGTTACACATTTGTCCTTAGTAAAAAACATTATCCATAAAATCTTTGTGCTTAAACAATTACTTTTGTAGGGGTATATCCGGTTGTTTAAGGTAAAATATAATTAAATTTGACCAAAAATAAAATCTTTCATTTTAGTAAAACTGGATAATAATTATGGGACAGAGGGAGTACTATATTTGAAGGTGGAGGGGTGTTTAAAGATGAAACACACCTTTTTGATTGTCTTCTCAAAGCATGTTTTGTGCTCATCCATTGAAGCATGAATGAACTCGTCAATGTGATCCTTCACATCCTCTAAAAAGGTTGCACTTTCACTCTTCTTCTTCCGGCATGACGTCATCACCTCAGCTTGAGCCGTGGTTGATGATAGCCCCTTAGATTCATTACTCTCAGCGGCCATTATTATATTGTCAATACCTATATTTTGCAGGAAAATAATAGGCAATTAGACTACCAGAATTATGATCCTCCAGATTTTATCTAATAATAATCGGCAATTCTGTAGGAAAACCTGCAACAATGGCAACGGGATCTATAGTGGCTGAGAACGGAAGAGCTTCTACATTAAACACTGACCGGAAAGAAAACCCCTCATGTTTTCAGGCGGGCCGGAGGGTAATTCCGCCACCGGTTACAACGATAAAGACAACCATGGAACCCACAGCAATCCAAACCAATACTTGAACTACTTAATTAGATGAATGATTATGGAGAATGAACTATAAATTTGAATATCCTATTGAATGATGATACAAAATATAAATCAATTAAAGAGGAGATACAATCACCTGAAGATGAAAGAAGAAACGTTGATCACAGGAAGAAACCGGCCGGAAGAATAAAAAGGATTTTCTGACAAATTCTGTTCAATTAGCAGCCACGAAGGCAGTAAAATTTCGGAAGAGGAAGAGACCTTTTCTTTTTCTCTGTCTATACTAGTTACTTTTTTACCATATGGTAAAATCTTTTTCTATTTAACTACTCTTTTTACTTGAACTGGAGCCTTATTTATTCAATCACCTTTTTTTTTTGGTCCTCTCACTATCCCTCGTCTTCTCGCCGATCTATCGCCGCCTCAACCTGATTCCGGTACCTCTGTCCTTATCGCCGGTTTCATCTCTGCTCCACTCCGAAGAATCGTCAATGTTCATTGAATATGACTGAACTACTACACTGAAGGTCGCTGGATTGTTGTTTTCGAATCATTTTGAGAACTATAGAGATAGTGGTGGGAGAAATTGTACGAGTTTTCCATAGGTTTGCTTTATTTGCATCTTCGGCGTCTGCGATATGAAGGTTGCAAGGAAAGTAATCTTGCTATTTAAAGACGGCAGCAGTGGTGGTGGAGAAAGCTTTGCTGATGCTCTGCAACCAAACCCTAATTCTAAGATTCAAAGATTGTAAGTCTATTATTTCCTTGGAGTTCATCCATTTTCAATTCCTGTCGTTTTATTGTTGTTGTAAATTAGCTATGATACTAATAAATGGTTTTTGGTTGGTTCATAGAGAAGATTCATTTGAACTGTCTCTGGAGAAGTATGGAATCAAGGACCAGAAAGCCTCTGGGAATGTGTTTCAATTTGTCAATGCTGATGGAGTGGTTGAGGTACTTCTGCTTTTATAATTGTACGAGGTGGTTATGTTTTAGTTTTTCCTTGTGTGACTGATTTTTACTGGAAAGTTTGATACCTTTATATTCTTGTTTTCTCCGTAGTATTAAGGTTGAGGATATTGAGTGTGGTCTCCTGAAGGTGTCACATTGGGTGATGCATGTATTTTTTCCGACACAGTAGTGACATTGAGGTTAATCATCCTGCTTTGTCAGATTCAAAGACTAAATAATGTTGTCCGAGGGTGTTTGTGGATTTGCAGTCTGTTCATTTGTTCCTCAATTAGTCTGTTCCCGGGATGCTTTGGATTTCCGTTTTTTCTGTGAAAAATTTTGTTACTGACAAGGATAAGGAACTAATGAAATTTGTGATTGGGCATTGCAATCTGATGCTACTGTATGGCTAGATAATCAATTTGTATAATCTAATATTTTTAGGAAAATTGTATTCTAGAGCAAGAACCTACCGATAAAAGCTTGTAGTTCTTGCCTCGCATATTGCCTTCTGTTTTTGAGTGAATGCGTGTTTGGTCTAGCTACTTTCATGCCATTGAGTGAGTCTACTAAGTGTTGAAGAAAAATGAGTAATTTATTTTGCGATTATTTCTGCGAACATTTGTGTTTGACACCTGTTTTGAGTCCTTGAGAAATTAATCTGGGTCTTTTTGTATGGTTTTTGCTGACCCTTGTAAGCTGTTTTGTCTTGTGTCATGGTTGGATGTAATAGAATTTCCATGTGTTTTTGTCAGGTGTCTATTTTTCTCTTGGACAATTATGCAACCCCGCTGTTGGCTTGTGCTCTGAATGAAGTTTTTGCTGCAATATTGGGAGAGGACCCATCTAACATCCCAACTCTTGTAGTTCCTTTCCTTGTGGAGGCTTCTAAGCTTAAATTTGAGAATAAGAACTCCAAGATAACTGATACTTCTCTTTATGGCTGGAGATTTGGCCCGGTAAATGATTCAACACAGGCTATAGTCTCCAAGATTCAAACGCCACCAGAAATGCAGATTAATCATGAGCAGTTGGCCTGCATGCTGCATCTTGTCCGTTTGTTGGATGTCCCAACATTTGTTCTAGTTGGAAAGTTTTCTCTACGGAGTCCTTCAAATGAAAGTCTTCAGGTATATTTGCTCTAAGCTAGTCCAGCTGGTAGCAATGCACATTTCTTATGTGTTAAATTTGCTTTCCCCGTTGTTTTGATTTTTTTGTCTGTAGTGCATGGTCATTATTCTGGGCAATGTTGGCATGTACCGTAGCAACATTCTTTAGGAATAAATGAGCATATTGAGGTCCAAGAGTCTAGTTGCTTCACCGTCATTTTTACTCACGTATTGCATGGTCAGGTTTGAAAAACTGTCTGTCACAGTTGACGATAGCATCTCCTACATGTTGATCTTTAATGTTGCGTGTATAGTTCGCCTTTTCATAAGGACAATCTAATGCTTCTGTAAAATAGGCGCAATGCATTACCAGAATAATCTGCACGCGCTGCTTTTTTCAAATGTTGATGCACTTGTTGGTTTGCATGAGCGAAATGAGTGATCTCCTATTGGCCTCTGATCTACTGCGTTTGTTAGCTTAAGTAAACAAAGAGGAAGTCCATGAACCTTTTGGCAACTTGCAGAAAAAGTTTTACTGCAGGCTGCCATTGGTTTGCTTTCCTTTTATCTTATTTGTAGTTGCAGCTGGCCGAGCTGATTGGCTCAAGTATAGCCATTCAGTAAGTTTTATCAGCTCTGCAATAATGAAGTATATGGCACAAAACCAGCTCTTACTGCTAAAGATATGGCTGGCTAAGATAGATGAAGCCATAAATCATGTCTCATATCAGATATGGGTTACATTTGGCGAAATAGGTTTTATATGTTTCACTAATGGAAAGATTCTGTTGCCTGGCCGCTGAGTGGAATTTTGTGATCATTAGCTGCCTAGACTAATTTTGTATGGCATCGATTGTAATGTTGAGATCTTGATTTTGTCTCATTTTGCAGGTGATTAATGAAATTGGAGACTATGTAGCCAAATTCTCGTCTCTTAGCTTTATAAAAGAGAGGGTCAAATGGAGTCCACCAAAGTCTTCAAAAATCGACGAGGAGCCTTGGCGTGCTTTGTATGGATGAGTCTTAAGGGTTTTAATGCGAATGCAAGTCGGTGCAAGTAGAAAACATAACCTGCCCACTCGCTGTGGCGCATATTTCTCCATGATGAAAGAAAACAGTATCTGACCTCTTCCAGCTTCTTGAGTTTTTCTCGGAACTGCCATGTCGATTAGAGTGTATAGCCATCCTTTTTGTATTAGAAGCATATTCGCAGTTCAGATATGGTAAAAGGTCAGATGGTGTTGCCAAAAGTACTCCCACTCTTCCAGTAAAGTGAAAAAAGAATTATTCACTGAACCCTGAAGTTCTTTATTGAAAAGAATTTATATGAATTCGATCCAGTCCAAAATATAACTAAACAAAGTCGGAGATGTTTGAGACATAAACGATAAATCAATGCAATTAACCTCATCCTCATCTGACATTGTGGACAGTAAGTTAGGATTAATTTGTGAACTTTTTTGAATGTACCAACTAAAATTGGCAAATTATTTATTTTATTAAATTGTATAATAACAAATTAAAGTTTACTTAATAAGGTAAAATATTTAGATTATCTAAATAAGTAAATAACTATATACAATGTTGGTTTAATAAGAAAATCACCATTTCTCTGAGAAAATGTCATAAGTTCAATCTTCTATTTTAAAAATCTTAAAGTGAAAGTGACTTAGAGGGTTTGTTATGGAAAATCTACAAGTGAACTCCCGATCCGATTTTGTCACCGAACATGTAATCCAAACTTGCTTTGGATGGGAGGTAGAGATGACAAATTCATACATGAACCCCTGACCCGATTTTGCCTCCAAACTTGTCAATTCGGATTATGTTACACCTGATTTCACCTAAGTTGGTTTACCTCCTACTTTGCAGGCTATTGCAACTTACAATGGACATGAGTTTTTACCCATCTATGGTGAGGTCCAGCCGTTACCACAAAAAAAATTAAAAACTATATACATATATTAGAAATTATATACTTAATGAAGACAAACACATATATATATATATATTAATACAAATTTTCTTTTTTTACATATTACACGTAATTAAAAGTTGAGTCAAGATATATAATAACAAAATTAATTATTACCCCTCTGCATTAACAATTTTATAATTTCACTTAAAATTAAAGAAAATTCCAACTAAATAAATTTGTCAGAATTCTACAGAAAATAAAGTTAGTTATATAAGATTTTGTTTCATTTTAAAGGTTATTGTATTGTTTACAAATGTTGGGGCGGGTGTATGGTTTTATGGTGGTGGTGCAAATTGTTGGATGGATTTTCTAATTAACACAGAGAACCTTGTGTTTCTTTTTCTTTCTTTTTTTTTTTTAGATGCTTGGCGAATTATATGTGTATTTTTTTTTACTTTTTTTTTTTACAAATTCTTTGTTGTAGTTTATAACACAAAATGGTTTTAGTTTTGTTTAGTTACAATATTTTGTATAAGTTGAGAGTTCTAATTTAGACGATAACAATGTTATTTTGAAATTATTGTCTGAGGTGTAAACTTGGTTGGTTTAAATTTTATTTTTCAAAAAATAAATTTGAATAAAAACTAGATTTTGCATTTTTTTTTTACAAAATAAAAAGACTAGATTCTACATTTTTTTTTTCACAAAATCAAGGCAACGGATAAATAACTTTTTTTACTTTTTCCCGATTAGAATTTGTGTAATTTAAATTAAAAACCATTAATAATTTCATGAGGAGAAAAACAATATTTTGAATGCCGAAACCGATCTAACTTAATAAAAAAATTTAAACTCACAGTCACATAGTAATTAGCAGTGTAAAAAATAGGCAAAGCTATTTTTATTTTGTAATCTCTTCATATGGAAAAAATACTCCAATTCGGAAAATTTATTTTTATTATTTCCAAAATTAGACTATTGTTTAGGCCTATATCATTCAATCCTCTTCTATTTTAACAATCGGCTTGGTGATAATAAAATACAAAATACTTCAACTTTGAAGACCAAAAGTAATCTATTTTAAGGTGAAAAGATGCATCATGATGAATCCTGAAGTCAAACGTATGACGGTTCGTTAAAACGTAAGTGATAAGTTCCAATCAATTCGGCGGCGCGTCCATTTTTCGTGACTCAGACAAGGAGCATAAAAACATCAACATAATTTAAAGCTCACGAGCCATTTTTTCCAATTTCATATTCACTCAGTCGATATCACATTATCACATACAGATACAGCTGCATAAGTCTCTGAATTTGATAAATATATCATTTGGGTTCTGACCAGAAACCATAGAGTAAGATCAAACTCGAACTGGAAATATGGGTTCTTTAATGGAGGAACAAGGATTGGGAAGAATGGAAGAAAAGGATTCAAAAGAAGCGATCCTATACGTGAACGGTGTCCGCAGAGTTTTGCCAGATGGGTTGGCTCACTTGACCCTTCTTGAGTACCTCAGAGGTAATTTCTCAAATCTTTCTTTGATGATCAAAGACAGGGCTAATGAATTTTTCTTTTGTTTTGTTTGGGAGGTCAATTTTGTATTTGAATTTGATAATTTCTTTGCTTCTTTGATAATCTGTTTTCTAGTTTTTGTGGCGATCCTGGAACAAGTTTCCTATCTTTTGTGTTCCTTGGTGGTAATAGTTTGGGTTAAAATTGATGGTCTTGCTATAGTCATAAAGGAAGTGAAGCGCTTGAAGTGGAGGATGAAAGATGTGTGAATTTTGTTTCATTTTCTTGGAATATAATTTTAGCTTAGATGCTATTTTTGACTCATGGAAAAGTTATAAAGATGACTACGTGTGATCTTTGAGTATTGAAAATGGTGAGTTTACCTTAGTCTCAGTACTGTAGGATCCAACTGTAACTAATGCAAGTACTGTAGGACACACTGTAACTAATGCAAGTTCTTCCATGTACTCATGTCTCTTAGTTCTGTTTCATTCTGTCTCTAATGAGTTTGAGCACAACCCGAGAGTGTTTGTAGATTGTATCTTCTCTGGAATGGTAGGGAAGATTACTTTATTGCCATTTCCAGTTGTTGATGGTGTTGGTTGGAAGAGTCACCCATCTCTTTGATGGAATCATAATACTGATCCGTTGAAGAGTACAACTCTTTGAGTTAACATATGGTAATTGATGATCATAATGTCATGAGTATGGGGTGAGAAAGTCTTTTCTCCACTTATACTTGCATAAATATGGTTGCTAGATAAGTTAATTAGTGCTAGAATCATGAAGAGAGCAGGGAGATAATTTTAAAGTAGGTTATGGTTCGTGAGAATCATGAATTTTTGAATTTGAAAGTTGTCTTTAGCTCCACATTTTGCTTATAATCTCGATATTAATTTCGTGGTTCCCGCCTCTTCTAATATTTGGATTGTAACGTTTAGTGACATCTAGCTGGTAGTTTAGTCTCTCGGCTGAATTTTGTTAGCGACCAATAAGATTCATTTGATTATTCTCTGTTCTTGAAACACATAAGCTACTTCTGTTTGTTTGCTTTACTTTTCTTGTTATTTTGAAATTGATTCTATGTGTGCTTTTTTGGTTCTCATCCCCCATGTGTTGATATGTTAAACTTGAATTTTTCGGGCTGATTGATCTAAACTAAATTGGCTTGTGTTGCCCATGAATTTATGTGCAGGTATAGGTTTGACAGGTACTAAGCTAGGGTGTGGAGAAGGTGGCTGCGGGGCGTGTACTGTGATGATTTCCTTTTTGGATCATAACAAAAGGAAATGTGTGTGAGTCTCTCTTTCTGGCTATATTTCTTCCAACTTATTGACATTGATTCATGGTTCCCAGTTCTTTATAAAATTTTTATGGGCTTGTGCTAAGATTCTTTTGGAAATTTTAGAAACCTTCAGAACTTGGAAACTGCTTGCTATTGTTTGCATCCAGAATATTTCCCGAGGAAACAAAAAATAAAAATAAAAGTACAAGACTCATTTGATTGACCGACATAGATTATAGCTTAATTTAATTAGTCAGTGAGGACGAAATACTGGAGAATCATGGATGCAATTTTTTTGTTTGGAATTTGAAGTGTGTTGAAATGTTTATATGTTTCTAGTGTGTTGAAATGTTGAAGAAAGTTTCTGCCATTATTATTCATGGAGTACGACAAAAAGCGGATTGAGGCTAAAATTACGATTGAGTCAGGCCTTCAATGCTTTGTTGCTATTTTGCGTGGATGCCTGCAATTTTGAGCTATTAACAGTTATCAATCTAAAAACTCCATCAATCATATAAAATGAAAGCATATTAGATGAGGGACTTTTGTAGACAAACATTATTAGTTTGAAAGCCACGGGTGAAATTAACAACTTTGTCCTTTTTTTTTTTCTTTTTTTTTCTCCCCTTTCAAATTCTTATTTTTTGTTGTGGAGAGGAGGAGGAGGGGGGTTTATGGGACTTTGTTCTGTTTTTAGCATGTTCACTTTGTCACAAGCTTTTGTGCAGTTTATGTGGACCTTTCCACTTTTTTATATTCTTTCCTTACTGAAGATTGGACACTCAGGAAATCTGACTCCCCCACCTTCAACGTCTGATTTGCATTTTATGATAGACGAGTATCAAGGATGATTTACCGATCTTTACTTCATGAGAAGTACTGTAACTTGAGTAAAGCTGTAGCTAGCAAACAATGGGCTTCTTCTCCAAAGTGTATCTGATTAAGAATTTTCCATTATCTGTGAGATCACCTTGTTGTGGCTGTTTTTGTTATGTTTCTTCTCCGGGGGCTCTGTACCAAATTTGTTCCAAGGATTTTGCATTCTCTGTTTTCTTGCTACACATGAGCCTACATTCCTGTGCATTTTTTATCGCTCTTGAAAACAATTAACGAGATGCAGTGTAATACCTATGATTACATGGTCTGACAAATTGTTATTTTATTTCATTGGCCTTTATCTGCAGGCACCATGCAATTAATGCATGTTTGGCTCCTCTATATTCTGTTGAAGGGATGCATGTCATTACGGTGGAGGGTTTGGGAAACCGCAGGGAAGGATTGCATCCAATCCAGGTTATAACTTTATGCATGCTTGACTTTCTGATTAGGCAAAATAGTGCACTGCAAGTATATGGTTATTGATATGTAATACAAGCATGGCTTGACTCCTTGGCTTTGTTCTCAAATTGCCTTTTCTACTCTTCTTGTTACATATCATATCAGTATCATATTGAGAGTGATTAGTGCGTGAAACCAAATATTATTATCAACTAAAAGGATTAAGATGAAAGTGAAGAATACCGGATTCCAGAGGAAATTATTATGTGCTCAATTACTATCGAGATTCTCATGTTATGTGTTAAATGTACTGATGAAGGCAAGATGTTCTCAGTCAGCTAAAGCTTTGGCTCAGTAACCATCCTGACCCACCTAGTCTGGACTAATATCATTATGGTTCTGTCAAGTGTTTTGCTTTTAGTTCAACTATTTCAGTTCAACCTCCTAATTCCCTTGGTTCACCGTCCGTGCAAAAGGATACTAGCTCACAAAATGCTAGTCTGTGTGGTATGGTCCCTGTTAAGGCTACTCGTTATCACTCAGATGCCCAAGAATAAGATACCACCAATACAAGTGCAGTACTATGAATTCAAACTGAGGAATCCTCGAGGCCATTCAGTCCAACGAATGCTGAAATTTTCAACACTTCACTTCCTAATCACAAGAGCTAGCTTGAAATCACAATTTACCACATTAGCTTAAAATTGAGCTATGGAAATTTGATAAATGAGAGATAAGTGGGAGGAATGCTTGTACAAGTTCAGAATCTCCAAGCTTCAAGCTAAGCTCCTTTTAAAGCTGGGGTTTGCAATTCAAATGTTAAGACCGAAATCTAAGAACTCGAGAAGCAATAATTATAGATAACAAGATCCTTGAAATTTAAATGATTTCCTTGGGAGCTCTGTTCACCATCTTTCTCTTTCTTTTCCATCAGTTCTGTTAACAAACACAAGATAGTGGAACTTATAACTTATAAAAATGTTCACATTAAAACTGGCAAATCACTGTAAATGAGTCAATGCTATCTAGTTTAATGTGCGAAATGAATTAAAGAAACAGTGTGTCTTTAACATATATCACTTTTGAGTAGATTATGCATGTTGAACGTTACAGACATTTACATGCTGGAACTGTTTGTAAATGAGTTCTAGTTACATGTTTAGCTAAAATGCTGCATCAGTAAGCTTTATACTTTTGCTCAATGCACACTTGATGTCATCATTGCGGGTCCTGGCATAGTGGTAAGGCTCTGAGTGGATCTCTCAGGGGTCAAAGGATCTAATCCTGTCTGGGTTGGGGTGGGGGTTATTTATTACTGCAATTGAAATTCCACATACCTATATATATATATATATATATATATATATATATATATATATAACCACATGGGCGGATCACCTGGATTTTTTTTCTTGTATCAGGACTTAATTATGTCTTCCTTCGATAATATCTCATCCTTGTTTTGCAGGAATCTTTAGCACGTTCACATGGATCGCAATGTGGTTTTTGTACTCCTGGTTTCATAATGTCGATGTATGCTTTGCTGAGGTCCTCTCGAGAGCCACCCACGGAAGAGCAGATAGAAGAAAGTCTAGCTGGAAATTTGTGCCGGTGTACAGGGTATAGACCCATTATAGATGCATTTCGAGTTTTTGGTAAAACTGAGGACAGTTTGTACACTTATGGGTCATCAAAAGACCTCAGTGGTGAATTTGTTTGCCCGTCTAGTGGAAAACCATGTTCCTGTGGGTTGAAACCCAATACCCATGCTGAGAACTCAAAATTAAGTATCTGCTCTATAGGCGGTAATCAACCAGTGTCCTTTAGTGACATTGATGGAGCAGCATACACAAACAAGGAGCTTATTTTCCCTCCTGAGCTTTTGTTGAGAAAGCAGAGTTCCCTGTGTCTGACAGGGTCCAATGGGCTGAAGTGGTTTAGGCCTTTAGAGCTTCAGGGTGTTCTAGACCTCAAAGCCAGGCATCCAGATGCAAAATTAGTTGTAGGCAATACTGAGGTTGGTATTGAAATGAGGCTCAAAAAGATTCAGTACCCAGTTTTGATATCTGTTGCACATGTTCCAGAACTTAACCAGTTAAATGTGAAGGATGAAGGTTTAGAGATAGGCGCTGCAGTTAAGCTTTCAGAAATGATGAAAGTATTGCAACATGTTGTGCATGAGCGCGCTGCGCATGAAACATCGTCCTGCAAAGCTATCATTCAACAGCTTAAATGGTTCGCTGGGACGCAGATAAGGAATACTGCATCTATTGGTGGGAATATTTGTACTGCCAGTCCAATATCAGACTTGAATCCTCTCCTGATAGCAGCCGGAGCAAAGTTCCGCATCATTGATAGTAAAGGAAACATGCGAACATGCCTTGCTGAGAACTTTTTCCTAGGATATCGCAAGGTGGATATGACCAGTTCTGAAATTCTGCACTCGGTCTTTTTACCTTGGAATAAACCATTTGAGTTTGTGAAGGAATTTAAGCAAGCTCACCGGAGGGATGATGATATTGCCATTGTTAATGCTGGAATGAGGGTTTCCCTTGAAGAGAGGGATAAACTATGGGTAGTTTTAGATGCTTCAATTGTTTTTGGTGGTGTAGCTCCTGTTTCCCTATCTGCATGTAAAACAAAAACATTTCTGATTGGGAAAAATTGGAACAATGAGCTATTGCAGGGAGCTCTGAAATTTCTAGAGGAGGACATTTTGTTGTCAGAAAATGCTCCGGGTGGAATGGTGGAGTTTAGGAAGTCTTTAACATTGAGTTTCTTCTTCAAATTTTTCTTATGGGTTTGCCATCAGATAGATGGAGAAACATCCTCTTTAAGCATTCCATTATCCCATTTATCAGCCATACAACCATTTGTTCGACCAGCAAGTGTTGGAAGTCAAGACTTTGAAATTACAAAGTATGGGACTGCTGTTGGATCTCCTGAAGCTCATCTCTCGGCAAAACTTCAGGTAAGAACTTTATTTTCAAAAATATTTTGGAATTAGAGAAAATGAGATGAGAAAACCAGATTGGCATATATACACTTGCTATTTTGTTGAAGTTGATGTCCCACTGACCTTTGTATTTTGCTGCATGCATCAAGATATAATTAGAAACCAGAACCGCTATGTATTGATTTTGTATGATCTCATAAGGGGAGAAAGTTGCTTACTATGGATTGATTTAGTATAATCTCATAAGGGGAGAGTTGCATGGCATATACCTGTTTGGTGTTTCTAAATTCTATCATGATTGTTTTTTTGGTGTAGATGTGATCAATTGCTGGGTTGGGATCTCATTTTATGTTAGTTCTCCTTTGAACATGTTTTAGCTGTTTTAGTCGTGTAAAGATTTGGCGTATCTTCTCCTGGTGTGGTTGATTGTTTTCGTTAGTCTTCATGTCTTAGTGGTGTAAACTTTATAAAAAACAATATTTAATGTTGAAGTTTTTTTTTTATTTCGGTTGCATGTAAAATATATATATATATATATTTTTGGGGGGGCTGTCTGTTTCTGATCTTCCTCTTTTCATGTAAATTTTATTTATATTTTTTCCCTTCAATATCCAGCTTTTTGAGGGTAATCTTCTTAGGTTTATCTGCGTCTCTTACGAGTCGGACTTTTTAATATTTCAAGATAAGTATTACTAGGACTGTTTAATTGTTTGTTTGTTTGTTTGTTTTTTTTTTTTTTAATGGCATCAACATTGAATTCAGATTTCACTTTGTTGTCGTCAAGAACTTGTTTCCTTGGTTTTTTGTTTTCTGCAGTTCTGTGGGCTGGTTGAGTAGGTTCATGCTTGTATTTTTTAATAGATTTTTCATATGTATTGCTTTGTATTTTGTTGGAGCTTTAATGAATTGTTATAGGGTTTCTTTGGTTTGTTCCATCTGAAGCAGTTTTATCTAGAATAGAAAGAATACATGCAACAGATGGTTGCTTTTGGACTAGAATTTTGGGAGTCAACCGTGTTGCTTAGATTTACTGTTCAAAAACTTTATCTCAGCTTGAGCTTGATTTGTGACTTAAGTTGGAGTATTGTTATTTGTTTCGTTTCATTTACGACATTCGGTCAAGGCAGCCATTGGTTTGCTTGGCAAACATGGTCATAGAGGTGCTAGTTGTTAATCTCTAACTAATCGGCATTTATTGGTCAAATCTTGGGTATAATCTTAACTTTCTAGTATGCCTTTCTAAATCTGCTTTCCGACATTACAGTTTATATTTCAATTTCTTCCAGGTTTCAGGAGAGGCAGAATATACTGATGATACGCCTATGCCTCCTAATGGTTTATATGCTGCTTTGGTGCTTAGTAAAAAGCCTCATGCACGCATACTTTCAATTGATGATTCTAGTGCAAAGTCTTCTCCTGGGTTTGCTGGAGCTTTTTTCGCAAAAGATATTCCAGGTGATAATATGATTGGACCTATCATTGCAGATGAGGAGCTTTTTGCTTCAAAGCTCGTTACTTGTGTGGGCCAGGTAATTATTGTTCTTTTTCTTTCCCAAAAACATTCCATGTGTTTTTGAAAGAGAGCCGGCTCTCGGTACATGATAACAAGCCATCATGATAACATGCCATTATTTTAGGATCGTATCGGTTTTGTTATAACTTGCTCAGCGACCAGTTAATTGTTTTGTAGAGGGACATAGAGTTATTAAGCTTGTCTTGATACTTTAGATCAATCATAAGATTGTACCAGGTCGGCGTATGGTGGTACCCAATCTCTGAACAAATCAAAATAGTTTGGAGTTGGGAGGTGTTATTCAAGTTATGTGATTGTGCACTTCTTGCTTCAGGTAATTGGAGTGGTAGTTGCCGACACGCATGAAAATGCAAAACTTGCTGCAAGAAGAGTTCATATCGAGTATGAAGAACTGCCAGCTGTTTTGTCCATTCAAGATGCTCTTCAATGTAACAGTTTTCATCCTAATACAGAGAGATGTTTTGAAGTAGGGGATGTAGAACACTGTTTTGCATCTGGTCAGTGTGACAAAATCATAGAGGGAACTGTTCAGGTAGGGGGCCAGGAACATTTCTACTTGGAGCCTAACAGCAGTTTGATATGGACAGTGGACAACGGCAATGAGATTCATATGGTCTCATCCACCCAAGTATATATCTCTCATCCACTTATTTATAATTTGTTTGCCTTGGTCATATAATCAATTGCAATTTTCTAGTTTCCTTCTGAATGTAAGAGTGTCTATACCTCACAACAAACCACTAGACAAACACAAGCTAGTTACAGTCATATATTCTGTAACCTCTAGATACATGCAAGCTAGTTGAAGTTCATGGGGTTGGATTGTCTACTTAATATTGTCATGTATTTGATTTATGGATCTCTCCCCTGTTTGATGCTATGTTGAAAACTGATGGGAAACTTATGGTCTGGAAATGTAATGGCATATTTACTTTAAAATCAGTCATTGTGTCCATGAGCTCCTGAGGATGGGAGTTAAACATTAAATGCTTTAATTATGCTTTCAGATAGCAACCCCTGCATTTATATCCTTGGCTTTTGGATAGAGTAGAGAAAATTGTAATTGGAGTATTAGTTTACTTGACAAAGGCAATGTTTTTCAAGTTTCATGTAAAATGATATTACAGCAACTTGCATAGGTGACATCTTTGGTAGTATGGCTCTTTCTTCTTCAACGATAGAAATGATAATTTTTCTGTTCTTAGTTTGTAATTTTGTAGAAGACAATTCTGTCAAAAGTTAAGGAAAATCTCTCTTAATGAAAATATATAAACTTTAAATACCCAAATTTTTTTTCCTTCTTGTTTATTTTCCCTGTATGTAAGCTTAACCACGCAGTTCTATGTTTGTCACAATCTTGTAACTTTCAATTTTCTCTTTTAGTCCCCTTTGAAGCACCAGAAGTATGTCTCCCATGTTCTTGGTCTTCCTATGTCCAAGGTGGTTTGCAAGACAAAACGAATTGGTGGTGGATTTGGTGGGAAAGAGACCAGATCTGCTCTTGTTGCTGCTGCGGCCGCGGTACCATCATATCTTTTAAACCGTCCTGTAAAACTTACATTGGATCGAGATGTAGACATGATGATTACTGGTCAGCGGCATAGTTTTCTTGGAAAGTATACGGTACTTATAATCCTCCAAAAATCACTGTGTATTTCTTTTGTGAAACCCAAGTCCTACAGCCAGAGTTTGTGGCGTCTTATTTGGTTACTGTTGTTATTAGCAAGTCTGGGACAATCTATTTGGTTACTGTTGTTATTAGCAAGTCTGGGATAATCTGTTTTTTTTTCCCTTTTTCACACATCAATATCTGAATGTAAATTACTGGAGATTTTGTTTGGATAGGACTTCAGCAGAAATGGAAAGTGATCACCAATCTCTTCTTTGGTTATATGTGACGTAGTTATTACTCTATAAGGACGAAATTAGACAAACCTCTGAATTCAAGATTTTGTGTGGATAGTGATCATTTTGGTGCTAGTTGTTACATTGTTCTGTGAACTTTTCTTGTTCTAGTGAACCAGATGCATAGTTTTTCTAACTTCTTAAGCGTGCTTATGACATAGGTTGGCTTCTCAAATGAGGGGAAGGTTCTTGCGTTGAATCTTGAAATATTCAACAATGCTGGGAATTCACTTGATCTTTCACTTTCCATTCTTGAACGCGCTATGTTCCACTCGGACAATGTCTATGAATTACCTAACTTGAGAATTCGTGGGAGGGTTTGCTTCACTAATTTCCCAAGCAACACTGCTTTCAGAGGATTTGGTGGCCCTCAAGGTATGCTGATTGCTGAAAATTGGATTCAAAGAATGGCCGTGGAGTTGAAGAAAAGCCCTGAAGAAATAAGGGTAAGCCTTGTATTTCCTTGACTCTTGTTGGTGGGTAATTATTTCTTTTATTTTGAATGTCAAAGATTTCCCATTATGGGAAACTGAAGGGTGTAAGGAAAAAAAATGCTCCTCGGTGAATTATTATGTTTTTTGTGTGTTATCTTTTCAGGAAATAAATTTTCAGAGGGAAGGATCAATATTACATTATGGACAACAATTAGAGAACTTCACCTTGGGGCGTATCTGGAACGACTTGAAGGCCTCTTGTGATTTAATCAAGGCTCGGGAAGAAGTCGAACGCTTTAATTCTCTAAATAGATGGAAAAAACGTGGAATTGCAATGGTCCCTACTAAATTTGGAATTTCTTTTACTTCAAAGTTTCTGAACCAGGTAGGTTTCTGAAGTGTGTTTGTGTTTGTTTATTTTGGTGGAATTTGTTTCATTGATTTTTTTTTCCTTGTGTGTATGTGTGTGTTGGATTCTCAATGGTTGGTGATCTTGTTATATGCATGTAATTTTGCCTATCAGGGAGGTCAACCAGATGTATCCTTTTAAGTGGAATTTGAACAAGCTAAAGTTGGCATGTTCTAATATAAGCTTTTTGCTCTCGAAACATTTTTCTGTATATAAAATCAATAGCGCAAGTTGCTTCACACAATTACAGTTTCCACAACATTCAGGGTAATGAAATGTCATCCTCTATTTGAATACAGGCTGGTGCCCTTGTTCAAGTCTACACGGATGGAACAGTTTTGGTCACTCACGGGGGCGTCGAAATGGGGCAAGGGTTGCATACAAAGGTTGCTCAAATTGCTGCTTCATCGTTTAACATTCCTCTTAGTTCTGTGTTCATCTCAGAGACGAGCACTGATAAGGTATCTTCGGAGCAATTTACTTAAAAGTCTTGTTTACTTGCTCTTTATTTTTTGGGTCGCTATGGTTGGGTTGTGCTTGCATCATTATTTGTAGTTAAATTTGTATTGTAGTTCTAGTTGTGCTCTTCTTGCTTAAGTAGCATATTGAATTTGCTGTTTTCAGTTTTCATTCTGAATGTATAATGTTACCATGTTGCTCCAACAGGTTCCTAATGCATCTCCAACGGCAGCTTCTGCAAGTTCTGATATGTATGGTGCTGCTGTGCTAGATGCCTGTGAACAAATAAAAGCAAGGATGAAGCCGATTGAGTCAAAATGTAACCACAGCTCTTTTGCTGAGGTATTCCTTTCCTGCTAATTACTTGTTCTTGTTATTGTTTATCATTGTTGCTTGTACACCCTCGAGGAAACTGTCATAAGTTCAGGCACCTTGTATGTGTTGCTTACTGGTGAAGAGAAGAGAACATGGTATCTATTTTGATTTATATACGACGCATATCTGCCGATGAGAAAATGTCTAACATCGTGCATAATCTACTACTTGTCTGCCCCTTCTGCAGAATTACAATGATCTGTTGTCCTAAGTACCCCAGACACATTTTGGATCTGGTTTATTTGTCGGAAAATCTTTATGTTCACTCAACATTTATAACTTTGGGAAGATCTTTGCTTCTATGATTTATTCTTTGCAAAAGAATGTTTGGGTTAAGTGTGCAAAGCAGAGTCATTCAGTCTGAATGCTACATAAATAATCAGAATCTTGTATACTCTTCCTACTTTGTAAATAACATACGCATGAATGTTTTTTCTTGGCGCCTGCAACATTAACTTGAAATTATGCTGCATTACCCTGTCTCTATTTACCACACTTATGCAATGAGTAAATCCATATTCACCCTGAAGAATTTATACTGTGGTTGACCTCAGTTTCTTTGCATTACCTTTTAATTTTAGAGTTCAAATGCAATTCTACTTCAGTGAATGCCCATGCACTTCGAGTAGGAAAAAGGAATAAACAAATTAAACTGCATTTTTGATGTTATGTGCTATCAGTTTTCCATCCTTGATTCCTAATAGTCGAAATATTTCTCAGCTTGTAAATGCTTGCTACATGGAACGAATTGACCTTTCTGCCCATGGTTTCTTTGCTACACCTGATATTGGGTTTGACTGGAAAACTGGTAAAGGGCATCCATTTAGATATTTTACCTATGGAGCTGCATTTGCGGAAGTTGAAATTGATACGCTGACTGGAGATTTCCACACGAGAAGAGCAGATGTTTGCTTGGATCTTGGTTTTTCGCTCAATCCTGCTATTGATGTTGGCCAGGTTATCCTCTCATCAATCTCGCAACTAGATATTATTGTTTCCTTTGGATTTTCCTCGTTCATTCTTAACGAGTTACCATTATCTTGGGGTAATTCACTAGCTTTCGTAAATCTTGCTTGACTCCTTTTAATTTTTGTCTACCACCAATGTTAGCAAAAGATTATTATGATAGGAAGTTACCAAAACCAAAAAAAAAAAAAAGAAAAAGGAAAAGGAAAAGAAAAACTAATTTTGAAATTTATACTTTACCATTGTGGGATCACCTTATGACAGGATCTGTTCTGTAATCAAGATTTAGTGAGTGATAGATCGCGTTCTGAATATTTCGGTTTAAACCTTGAATTTAAATATCACGGATCTTTATTTCATGTCACCCTTTTGTGGTGGAGATAATGAGTTCAAGCCTGAATATCTTGGATTTGCCTCCTGTTCCTTGCTTTGGTTTAATGAGAATGAGATAGAACCCCATGCAGTTGATGTGAAGGGGCAGATGACTATTTTGGGGACTTTACTTCAGGTGAATGTAAAACCATGGATACAAGTACGCTGATTGTCTGGCAATTCCGATTGCTTTGGCTATGAGCAAGGCTGCTATGTGCAGGACATTAGCTCTGGAGATATTTGATTGTCCTCAAACGTGTGTGGAAAAGAGAGGATAAAAAATTAAATTAAAAAGGAAATGGAAAAGATCTTAGAGAAGTTGAGAAGAAAACTACTGTATCAGAAGGGTCTTTGGTTTATTGACATTTAATGAGAACATCTGTGTTCACCACATAGATACCACTTGGTGGGTTAAAGCTGGGTTGTTATTGATGGAGACATAATTTTCCCTTTTGGTGTATCTGTAAGAGATGTGAGGTTGGTTCGGAATCATTTTAGAGGGCGAACGAACAACGAGATTGTGCTTCTCTCTTCTCTCACACATACACATACACACACATCCACAGTCCTGGGTTTTTTTTTTTTTTTTTGAAGGTTAAAAGAAGAATACCTTTTAGTCCAGCTTTTTAGTGATGTCTATTTTATTTTAAATCTCGTTTCTCTCAATAATCTATGCCAATTGCTTTAACAAATGCAAGAGACCAGGTTTATTATTTTAATGTTTTTTTGCATAAGTTTTTATGTGATCTGGTAGGGTGTGAGATGCAGTCAAGGAAGGCCTCGACATTAAAATTTGCAATTTTCATCTGTGAAACTTCCTCTCTTTTTATGCTTGTATATCTCTGCTCCAAGGTTGTGTGATCTTACTGCTCACGGTTGTTCTTAGTTTTGGTTTCCTTGAATTTGACTTTTGAGCTGAAGTCTTCGTCTGTTCTTTTATATTCCCTTTCATTTGAGACATGATGCTTTAGCAGCCAATAGGTTGTGGTTTGCAACTAAAATGTAATTTGAAGTCAGTTGAATATTGACTAGTATATAATTGCGAGATTTACTCTTGATTAATGGATTACAGATTGAAGGAGCCTTTGTACAAGGTCTTGGATGGGTAGCTTTGGAAGAACTGAAGTGGGGAGATGCATCTCATAAGTGGATACCTGCAGGCTGCTTATACACGTGTGGCCCTGGAAATTACAAAATTCCATCAGTCAATGATATGCCGTCAAAATTCAATGTTTCTTTGTTGAAGGTACACATTTAGTTTCTCGTTTAGACTTGCTGTTTCAACATTTCTGTAGATTTGCAAGAATTTGAATTTATATCGTTGATAAGATTGACATGGTAGATTAAATTCGCTTATTTACTGTGTTTCTGATTTCTTTTCTTTTCTTTTCCTTTTTCTCACTTTCTCCTCATTGTGGACCATGACCATTTGAGTGGGGGTACTAAGTATGAATTTGTAAGATGACTCTTTTTTTGGACAAGAAAAGGGTTTTGGGACAGGAAGCATTGTTTATTATTCAACACTATCCTGACCCTTAGGTTTTTATATCAGTTAGTGACAGGTGTATGTGAATTATATGCTTACATTAGGCCACCATGATCATGTTTCCAGAAGATTTGATTAGGTTGAGATGTCACCTCATTGACTTATGCTGAGACTTTTTCCCCTGTATATCAGATCCTAATTTAAGGGTTGTGGAGGAATGGATATCACTAGTCTGTAATGATCTTACAGTACTTTCATCTAGGAATGTTTGGGTATAGTTTGCCACTTTGCAATGAGACAATGATGTGGAAAAATGGAACTTTGATCCCTTTTATTCGGACCAGTGGCATTTCTATTCTCTTTTGCTTGAAGGGAGATAAATGTTGTCCCTCCCTCAGTGTTGCTAGTCGCCGACCAAGATCCTTATCAATGGTTACTAATTCCCTTATATGACAGGAATATGTGCTGTAATCTTTTGTTTTTGTTTCCATTGTCTTCGACATGGATAACGTGTCATAATTTTCTATTCCCTTGCCTACATATTTTTTGCCATTACTTACCCGTTTCTCCTTGTCCAATTTTCTATTCCCTTTCTCACACATTTGATACGTTGGGACGCAACCAACAACTTATGCAGAAAAAAGTAAATGGTGTATCTTGTGTGCATTTGTGCTTGTACGTTTCATTTGGACAATCAATCTAGAGTACTTGACCCATTTAGTTCTTTGACTCGCAATTGCTCATGTCTTGTGATTTGATTGCTCACTGACATCTAGTGTGTTCAACATTTAGGGTGCTCCCAATAACAAGGCCATCCATTCATCCAAGGCTGTAGGGGAACCTCCATTCTTCTTAGCATCTTCGGTATTTTTTGCCATAAAAGATGCTATAATTTCTGCAAGAGCAGAAGTAGGGTGCAGCGGTTGGTTCTCGCTTGATAATCCTGCCACACCTGAGCGCATCCGGATGGCTTGTACAGACCAGTTCACCAAAGCCTTTGTAGAAGATTCTGATTTCCGTCCAAAGCTTAGTGTTTGATAAATGGCTGCTTTGTAATATCTTCCGTTGGCTGCTTTGTAATATCTTCCGTTTTTATCCTTTCATGTCATTTTAGCAAAAGCAATGTAATCCCAGATTTCATGAATTTTAAAACATTAGAATTAAACAGAATTTTAAATTTCTTAGTTTCAATTTAGAATGATCGGATTGTACTTTCTGTATCTTATATCCTTTGCAATATCGATTCTCAATTCCATGAAACATTGGCCTGGACCGCGGCCAAGTTAGACCAAATCGTGGAAAATTTGAAAAAAAGGAAATAGTGGTCTTGATTGAGTGAAAAGTAAAAAGCTTGTACGATTATCTTCTTGACGAAAAGTAAAGCCAAACTGCCAAATTGCAGGAGACTAGAACATTATTTATTGAAAGAAATGTCAAGAATTCATACTGAAGATATAAGTTGGCGGAGGACTACGGCAAGGAGCAAGAGGCTCGCCGCATAATCCCCTATTCCCAGAATATGAGCGCGCTGGAAAATCAATCAGCTTTTTACCGAAAGGAATTTTCCGTGAAAGAAGATTATTTGAGAGGTTTAACTCTCTGAGATGCTTCAGGTTCAAGAATGTTTGAGGAATTGTGCCCTTGAACTGGTTATTCTGAAGCATCAGCGTGTCTAAATACTCGATGTTGGCTAATGATTCCGGCAGAACAGAGTTGAAATTATTGTGACTCAAATCCAGCGCAGAAAGTCGCGTCAAATTCCTGACAGATGCCGGCACTGTACCCTGTGAGTTGATTGTGTGATACATTATCAGCTTGATGTCCTAATGGGAGAGGAACTTGCCAATCTCCTGAATATCACCCGAAAAGCGGTGTCAGAAAGATCAATGCTGTTTAGCTTATCAAGCGGGGGTTGGTCAGCGATTAGAATCACTGAGGCTACCAAACCTGATAATCTGTTGGAGTGAAGGTCCAAATCGCGCATGTTCTTCAGATTCTTAAACGTGGCGGGAATCTCAGAAGAGAGTGAATTATGTGACAGATTCAAAGAGTTAAGCTTGAAGTTTCCTAGCCATTCAGGTATTCTTCCGGTGAGATTATTAGCTGATAGGTCTAAGCTCTCCCATCTGTCTGCTGCAGTTTTGATGTACTCTGGAAAATCGCCTTGTATTCCGCATCCAGCCAAGTGAATGCTGATCAATGATGGCCAATCTATAAGCCAATTTGGGATGAATGAAAGATTCAAAGGGTTGAATGAAAGGTAGAGTTGTCGAAGTGTTCTGATGGAAGACATCTCCTCTGGCATTGGTCCTTCAATCATGTTATGCTGGATCCTTAGCATTGCAAGAGATTGTAGGCGGCCGATTCTACTTGGTACTCTACCGGACAACCTGTTCCAGCTTAGATCCAACAATCCTAATGACGTTAAATTCCCAATGCTGACAGGGATACCCCCTTCGATCTGATTATGACCGATTGACAATGTTTCAAGTGATGTCAAGTAGCCAATAGAAGAAGATATGGTTTCTCCGAGAAGATTATTCTCGAGTATGATTTTAGTTAAGAACTTTAAGTTTCCTATTGAAGGGGGAATTCTGCGTCGCAACAAATTGTCCGAAAGATCAAGATATTTGAGCTGTTTCATGTTACCAATATTTTCTGGAAGTTGTCCTGTTATGAAATTATTTCCAAGATACAAATACTGCAGATTGATCATGCCTTCAATGGACTCAGGAATACGACCTGAGATGTTGGTCAAACGAAGATCTAAGGACATTAGGCTTGTCAAATTTCATATGTATTGAGGAATAACACCAGAAATTTGGTTTGAACCAAGATCCAAGGACTCCAGGCTTGTGAGATTTCTAAAGCTTGAAGGAAGAGGACCAGAGAAATGGTTATCATTCAAGAACATTTCCTTAAGTTTCGATAGCTTACCAATGCTTTCTGGTATTGTACCACTAAAGTTGTTCTTTGTGGAGATCCCAAAATTGGAGGTCTTTCAAGTCTCCTATCAGTGGCGGAATCTGCCCACTGAGTTGAGATAAACCACCCAAATGGAGAACTCTAAGAGAGCTGAGAAGGTGTAAGGAAGGCGATAACTCGCCTTTCATTCTTAACTGCGCGCCATTTTTGGTCAGCGCGCCCGGTAGATTAATCTCTGTCACTCTACCCGTTATATCATCGCAAGAAATGCCTACCCATTTGCAGCAATTCACCCCAATCCATCTCTTTAGCCGCTGTGATTCGTCATAAGTGATCCCTGCTTTGAAATCGTTCAGAGCCTTCAGATCATCAGGGTGGCAGCCTTCACTACCAGCACTTCCAACTTCGCATACTGTCATTGTCATGAAAATCATCACAAGTAAAACAACCCCATAATAACATCCCCTTCTTTCTTGGCAAAAAAATGCTTTTCTCATCCTGAATTGGTCTTTTTGTAAGCTGGTGATGCAGAAGTATTGACTGGATGGATACAAAAGGAAGTCATACATGTTAAAGTATATTCATGGATGAGAGCCCAACAAAATTTCTCACTCCTTATTTCAATAGATGTTGGAATTCTACTTCAAGAATAGTGGACAACAATGGCTATACTAGATCGAAGAACAAGAAGAAGAATTTATGGTTAGGATAAAAGAAAGTTTTATCTCCAAATCACAAGTAAACTTGCTTTCCTTTAAGCTAAATTCGTCCACTATAAAGTGCAATTGTCTAGGCGAATTCCCTATGAGATAAAATGGAGATCATGTTGTTTCACCATGCACTTTTAGTGAACCAACAACCTGATACAAGGATAAAAAATGTCATTAGAAATATTCCAAATATTTGGTGATTTTATTGTACACTAAAAGCATCCAAATGATCTATATTTATAGAGTTAGAGAAAACTCTTGAGGGTTATAACATGTACTCAAAGTACTATTGCTATATCAAATGCCAATTTTGCATTTCCATTTCAAAGCATGATAAAAATATGACCAAATTCTCTATCAAACCTTTTATGACATACATTTTCTTAATTAATCATCACATTAATTAAGTATTTTATTTTGATAGAAACCACACATTTGGGCAATCAACAAATAATGCATAGTAAATTTCTTTTACATGCAAAAAACTCATGAATTCTGCAACCATGTTCCACTCAGGCATAGATCTCATCACTACGTTCATGTATTTATTAAATATATACATACCTTGAACTTGAAATGTCAGAATTCACAAGCAAAATATAATTCTTACTTTAATGACGAGATCCATTGTATCTTATCATTGCTCTTTCCATTAAATCCAATGATCTGCAACATTTCTACCATTTTCGTGTACAACGAAAATATCCTTGATTGATTCTTCAAGTACTAGCCATTGTTTAACAGGAAAATTTTAGCCAAAAGATTGTTGCAATTCTACTTCAAGAATAGTGGACAACAATGGCTGTACTAGATCAAAGAACAAGAGGAAGAATTTATGGTTAGGACAAAAGAAAGTTTTGTTTCCCAGTCACAAGTGAACTTGCTTTCCTTTAGGCTAAATTCGTCCATTATACAGTGCAATTGTTTAGGTGAATTCCCGATGAGATAAAATGGAGATCATGTTGTTTCACTATGCACTTTAGTGAACCAACAACCTGATACAAGGATAAGAAATGTCATTGGAAATATTCCAAGTATTTGGTGATTTTATTGTACATTAAAAGTATCCAAATGATCCATATTTATAGAGTTAGAGGAAACTCTTGAGGATTAGACGTAACCCTTGGTTATGGTCTTAGACCTAACTTTTCGTTAATGTCTTTTCATATGGAGTCCATAGGCACAACCTATTAATTGTGCCTCTACAATATATTGAAAACACCCAATTGGCACAACATATTAATTATATCCCTAATATATTAAAAATAACTCCAACAAGAGATTCATGCAATCCAGATTTACTAAGCCGTCAAATTAAACATGAATACTACATCCATTTGTAACATTTCTTAGCTTTGACATTTGTATCTTCATTTGTACTAACTTTTAGTTTATTGTATGTCCAAATTAAAAGCTTTATTTTATCCTATCGTGAATGCTTCGCTGTATGCATCAGCAAATCTTACATTTTTTGCGACTTATTTCAACCTATCGTTGTACATTTAATTATTTTTTCTTCAATAAGCCTAAATATATTTTTCGAGTACTTAATTCGGCACAATTTTGTGATAGTATTTATTTAACTTTAATATGTATTTGTTGGTATTTTATATTACTAGTATTATTCTCGTACGTTGTGCGGTGATATAATTTATTATATATTAGTTTAATAATCAAAATGTACTATTTTAGTTTGGCAAATAATTGAATGTAGTCTCTGGTTTATTTTATTTTTTTTTCTCTACATTTTTGATTGTCCTTTTATTTTTCTCTACATTTTTCATTATTCTACGTTACATCAATTAATTTACCCGTATTTCTATTTGTGGTTAATTTTGTAGCTTCTCAATGAAAACATGATTGAGATAATTTCTCTTGCACTGCATTTTTTCTTCTTCACCAGGAAATCTTTCTCAAAATAAATTTTCTTGTTTTCCTTTTGTATTAATTTATATGAAAATTTACAAAAGAATTTATGAGAAGTTTGATGATGACTGAATGTATGCAAGAACAATTAAAATGTGGGGAGAAACATGGATTGGAATCTAATTCATAATTTAACTAAAGAAGACAATAATATGTAACCACATTTTTCTAAGGGCCTGTTTGGTTGCAAGGGATTTTAGACTGGAAAGTAATATGATTCCTTGTCTTTAAATTCCAGTGTTTGTTTCACATAGAAAAGTAATCATTTTCTGAATTCTTAAATTCCTTTGTTTGTTTACTTTTGGGAAAAGAAAAAGAATCCTGAAATTAAGAAAAATAAGCATAACTTTCCTGGATTATGATTCCTGGAGGTGGTATTGTGATTCCCATCTTTTAGGATTTTAATATGTACTCGTTTTTTATTCTCCATAAAATTTTTTTAATCATCATTTTCATATCATTCATATTTTTTTTCTTAATCTAATTTATTTTTATATAATTGTTAAGTTTTTTTTTTTGCAATTTGATTAATTTTCTTTTTACATTATTAATTGACAAAATATTTGATTGGCCACCTAAAAACTAGACACTTTATCAAATTAATTTTTTTTAATAAATAAAAGATAGGACTTAAATTATGCTAGGAGTAAAAATGATAAAAATAACTTTTAAATATTTCTTTAAAGTATATCACAACGTTGTAGAAATAATTTTTCTAAAAATACTGTAATACTTATCACAACGTTGTAGAAATAATTTTTTCAAAATACTGTAATACTTATAAGATAGTTTTAACTTGTGATAATAACATAGTCATTGTAAATAAATTTAACACTTAAAAACTCATGTCTATCATATTAAATTAAATTTGAATTTAATTAATCTAACTCAAAATTGAATCATCTTTGATGAATTATAATTTCAAACATTCAGATACACATACACGTATATATAGAGTTAATATACTAGTAGATGATGTTACACTTTGAGCATATCTCCTCGAGACTTTGAATCGAATTTCATAAAGAATATTTTGGGGGCTTATAGACTAAAAAAATATTATTCTTACATTCAAGTGTATTTTCCGACATGTAACCAAACAGAAGAAAGTATTTATATTCTTCAGAATCATATTCTTAGGAATCACAAAGTAAAGTAAAGTATTAATTTTCCTCAGAATTAAAATTCCAAGAATACTAACTTTACTTTCCTCAACTTTTCAAACAACCAAACAGGCCCTAAGGGTATAACTACTAAAATATAATAGAATACTTTTACCACAGCTAACATGCTATTAATATTCATTATTTTAGGGATTTTATTTGTTATTTTGGCGGTGGAGTCTCAGAGCAATAACGCGACAATATTCAACAAAAAAGGAATGTTGTTGTTATTGTCAACCTGCTTGTCGATCATTGACTTTGCATCTGCCCATTATTGTCCACACTCCACATCTTCGTCCCATTACGAGCATCTTACTCTGTTTGATTGAGGGGATAGATAGTACACTTTTGGACCTATTTCAATAGTACTCATTTTCTCGATGAAACTGGTTTGGAAGACAAAGAATTTCATGATTATAGGCAGAAAATACATAAAACTACAATAAGGACATTTCATTGTCAAAAAAAAAAAAAAAAAAAAAAAAACAAGGGCATTTACTTTGCTGCCCAGAAAAACAGAGAAAAGAGAACATTCAATTTTTTTCCCGACTACGGATCCCATACTACCCAAAAAACTGCTCACAGAAAAAAGCAAATAAATATGATGCTCTTGTTTTGGCAAATGATGTGATTGCCTGCCTTATAATAAACGTGCACATACAAGAGACTACCTTATTGATCATCATATAGCTTATATATAACCAAATCTAAATCATTAGACAATACTGCAACTTAGAATAGAGGAATAGTATTTCATTCATATATCGTTATGTACAATATACAGACTATATATAGACGATAACAAACCCAAAACAAGGACATTATAGGAAATATATTAAGTATTACAATTACGCCCCCGCAAACTGACGGCGGAGAAGAGAGAAGCCGAAGTTTGTCCCGGAAGTGAAAGAATAACTCCTTGGACAAGGGTTTGGTGAATATCGCAAGGCGATCAGCGAGAGACGAGTTGACCGAAACAAACTTTCGCCGAACATGATCTCGAACAAAATGAAAATCAACCTCAACATGTCTGGTACGAGCATGAAACACAGGATTGGCAGCAAGGAAAACTGCACTACTGTTGTCACACCAAATAGAGGGAGGGCGATGTAAAGAAATGTCTAACTCGGACAACAGATGACACACCCAATGCAGTTCAACAAAGACATTAGCAACCGCACGAAACTCAGCCTCAGTAGACGAGCGAGTCACAGTGGTTTGCTTCCGAGATGCCCAGGCAATGAGATTAGGACCCAAATAAATGAGAAAACTAGTAGTAGAATGACAATCATCCGGACAGCCAGCCCAGTCAGCAGCACTAAAGGCAGTAAAAGTGCCCAAATCTGTAGGATGCAGAACTAAACAGAAATCAACGGTACCACGAAGATAGCGAAGAACCCCATGAGAGCCTGAAAGTGAGAAGTGCGAGGCTGATGCATGAACTGACAAATCTTATTAACCGCAAAGGAGATATCTGGACGAGTGAGAGTGGTATACTGCAGACTGCCACACAGCCGGCGATAAGTAGTCGCATCATCAAGAGACAACAGAGTACCATCCAAACGGGACAACACAACATTAGCCTGCAAAGGAGTGGAAATAGGTTTGCAAGTATGCATA